TAATTAACCGGTCAAAGCATGTACCATAATATTCAAATCACTTTTCAAACTCTTATGTAAAATCAAAATCTGGGTCACATGTAATTCGTTATATGACTAGGAAAAAGTAGAACAAGTACGATTAACCAGTGTAGTGCACTTATAATAATTTTATTAATTTATCAACTCAATTTCTATTATTTTTACATATTTTATTTATTTTATCTGAGAAAAAACACTATAATTTTAAGAAACACCCTGATCCACTTCATTTTGGCTGTACAATTACTGTAGCAGACGGACCACTATTTTTACTCATATTGTTTTCGACTGCTTGTGGATCATTATTATTTTTATTATTTTAATTGTTAATAAAAAATGGATTATAATTTATTGTGAAGGGAAGCATTTTAGCGGTTCAAGTAAAATTGTAGAAGGACTACACTTATTCTGTCTTTTATTCAAGCCCTTAATAACTAATTAGTTTTAATTAAAAACGGTATCCACTCACCATGCATACTCAGTATTAAAGATTTAAGTCATCTAGATTAGTGCTGGAAAAAAAACCGTGATTTGCAAGGAATATTGTTAAAGATGAATAGTCATCTAAAGATTTCAGTTAACTACACAACTACAATAAACGATTCCAAATTTTCAATCTTTTCTATCGGTCTATAAATAGAGGATGAACTAACCTTTCAACTACTATAGCCTATAGGCTACTTTTAGAGAACTGTCATGTAAGGCTAACATTTAAATATTTTTTAGTCAAGGATCAGGTGTAGAACTATGTATATTGATACTTTGTCATTTCCTTAGTATTTGCTAATCGTTTTTTTTTTCTTTTTGTCACAATAGATTCATGTTTTCCAAAACTTTTGAATATACAACAAAGGATTGTGAGGGTGCCAAATTTGTAAAAATTTCTTCGTTTTTGTCTTTGTGTATTAGTTTTTATATTTATTTTGTTTTGATAAAGGTCTCTGTCTCTGTGTACTATAATAATTAATAGTCGTATCTTTACAGGTCAATGAATGTGATTTCATCACAACTTATATTTAAGCGGAACTGGATTAGTGATATGGATACAAATTAAAATGCTCTTGTGTATTGGTTTGTCTAGTTGTGTTTAAATTATCCATTTTCTAAGATACATTTGGATATGTGAATTTAGTTTATAAATTGCAATTGGTCTTATGTTGCAGATTAACAAAACACAATACACATCTATATAGCATTTGTGATATTTTAAAGCATCGTTAACCCTCTTGTGAGGTTTAATCTGAACTATGTATCTGTAAATGTTTGTTTTGGAGACACTCATCATGATTTGGTTCTTGACTTCTTTTTCTCTCGATCTCTCGTATGTAACAAAACAAAGCAGAGAAAAGTAAATACACTAAGAATTTTACGAGTTCAGGTTGCAATGTGGAACCCTACATCTCGTCGGGATGATTTAGTTAACATCCTGGAAATCCACTAGAATACTTAGTCAACACTCTGTCAAGAACACCTAATTTGTGTAAAGGTTTTCTTAATCTTATTGATACAGCCAATGTGGCTTTTATACAGCATACACAATGTTTAACCTAATAGCTTTGTACAATAATAACTTATGGGCCAAGTAATAACATATCGAGACCCATTTAACTCAATAGAAGCCCATAACATCCGCAATACCCCCCCTCAAGTTGGAATATGAAGATCACGAATACCCAAATTGAGCAAGAACTCATCAAACTCCCGTCTACCAAGAGCTTTTGTGAGTATGTCCGCGAGTTGTTGCTTCGTAGGAACATGATACGGATAAATGACGCCTCTCACTATCTCATCTCGAATGAAATGATACTCTTTGGCAACATGTTTCGTTCTCGCATGATTCACCGGATTCTTACTCAAGTGAATAGCCGACATGTTATCACAATATAGAGGTATAGTGTAAGAACAATCCACTCCGAGTGTTGTGAGCAGTTCCCGCAGCCATAAAACTTCACTAACCGTATCTCCCATAGCTTTGTATTCGGCTTCAGTTGAAGATCGAGAGACTGTATCCTGCTTCTGCGTTTTCCAAGACAAAGGAGAACCACCAAGCTGAATAAACCAAGCCGTGAGTGAGCGGCTAGTGTCAGGACAATTCGCATAATCAGAATCACACCAAGCCGTTAGCTTCAAATCACCACCAGCCCGTAAGAAAATTCCCTGTCCCGGATTTCCCTTTAAGTAACGAATAACCCGCAAGACAGCCTCCCAATGCTCTGTTTTTGGTGCATTCATAAACTGAGAAAAAAGATGAATCGCATAGGATAGCTCAGGTCGTGTATGAGCCAAATAAATGAGTCTTCCAACCAACCTACGATAGCGAGACGGATCTGGAAACACTGCACTCTTAGAAGTGGCGAGCTTATGATTTTGTTCAATAGGATGCGATGCCGGTTTTGCTCCAAGTAACCCTGTCTCAGAGAGAAGATCCATAACATATTTTCTTTGACTCAAATACATGCCTTGAGGACCCCGGGCCACTTCAATACCCAAAAAATATTTTAACAACCCGAGATCTTTCATCTTGAAAGTAGAACACAAGTAGTCCTTGAATTCCTTAATAGTATCCACGGAGCTTCCGGAGACGATAAGATCGTCGACATAAACAAGAACATGAAGTCGAAGTTCCCCATTCTCATCCGTAAGTGTAAACAAAGAGTAGTCAGAAAGTGATTGTTCAAATCCATAGTCTTTCAATGCCGTCGTTAGCTTCGCAAACCAACATCTAGGAGCTTGTTTAAGGCCATATAAAGACTTATGGAGGCGACATACTTGTGTTTTATCTTCAGTCCGAAAACCCGGAGGAAACCGAATGAACACTTCCTCATCTAAATCACCGTGGAGGAATGCATTATGAACGTCCATTTGATGGACTTCCCAATCCCGAGAAACAGAAACATCAAGAAATGCCCTTACGGTCACCATTTTGCACACGGGTGCAAATGTTTCTGTATAGTCAAGCCCTTCAGTTTGATTATTTCCAAGGACCACGAGACGTGCTTTGTATCGTTCAAGTGAACCATCGGATCTATATTTCAATGTGAAAACCCACTTACATCCAAGAGCCTTCTTTCCCGGAGGTAGTGTTTCCACAGTCCAAGTACCTTGTTCTTCAAGAGCATCGATCTCACCACGAACAGCATTTCGCCAATTCTCATCCTCAAATGCTTCAGCATAGGTTTGCGGTATGACACCAGCTGTAATAGCAGCGAGAAAAGCTTGATGATGCTCAGAAAATTGGTCACAATTTATGTAAGAATCAATCGGGTACCACGAGGAATCAGTGAAGTCACTATCGGAACCTCTATGTGTCGTATTGGTGACATAATCATGAAGCTTAACTGATGGGAATTTCTCGCGGCATCCTTTTCCCATTCTAGGTGCAGTAGGTTCCGTATGTTCCATGGTAGTATCAACTTCATCAAATATCAACCTTGGTATAGGAGATTTTGACGTTATAGCTTGTCGCGGATTTGACACGGTGGTAGAAGAAACCGGCTTGGGCTGAGCCGGATCAGTGGTGTCTCGTGGTGAAACACGAGATATGTGAGGAGTCACTGGTTCCTCATTAGTGATCATAGTAGTTGGAGCTGATAGTGGTTCCTCATCATCATTTGTATGTGATGATGATGAGTTTAAAATCGACGTATCCGGAGTAACATCCGCAAGAGGCTGAGCAAATGGAAAATCCTTCTCAAGAAAAACAACATCCCGTGAGGTAGAGATAACTCCAGTTTCTAAATTATAAACTTTCCAGCCCTTCTTCCCATATGGATACCCAAGAAAAACTGATTTATTGCTTCGGGAAGCAAACTTATCACCCCCATGTTTTTGATTATGAACATAACATAAACAACCAAAGACACGTACATGATTCATAGGAGGTGGACGTTGATAGAGTAATTCAAACGGAGTCTTGCCTTTCAGGATCGTAGATGGAGTCCGGTTTATCAAATAGCCGGCCGTGAGAGCACAAAATCCCCAAAATTCAACCGGTAAGTTTGCTTGAAACCTGAGAGCTCTTGCAACATTAAGTATATGTCGATGTTTGCGCTCGACACGTCCGTTTTGCTGTGGAGTACCAACGCACGATGTCTCATGAACAATTCCTTTTTCCCGGAAAAAATCACTAAGACTCATAAATTCGGAACCATTGTCACTCCTAAGAGTTTTTAATTTCCGATCAAATTGTCTCTCAATTAAAGAGATATAGCCACGAAGTGTAGACGCTGTCTCCGTTTTATTTGGCAACAAATAAATCCAAACGGCTCTTGAAAAATCGTCGACAATCGTTAGAAAATATCTTGAGCCACAAATCGATGTTGTTCGATACGGTCCCCATAAGTCACAATGAATTAACTCAAAAACTTCAGAAGTTTTATTAATACTCAAAGGAAAAGCATCACGGGTTTGCTTAGCACGAATACAAACGTCGCAAGACTTAGAATCAAAACTACTACTACTAGAATTTGATAACTTGAGCATCTCCATAGTTTTGGAAGCTGGATGACCTAAACGACAATGCCACACCTCCACCGGCTGCACGTCCATGGCGTGTATCGTCATTGTATCTCCCAATCCCCGAAAAAAATAGAGTCCATTCAACTGTTCACCAGCCCCAATCAGCATCTGTGTGATGCGGTCCTGAACCACGCAAAGTTTATCAGATATCTGGAAGAGACAACCACGGTCGCGTGTTAGTTGAGAAACCGATATAAGATGACATTGCAATCCATCAACAAAGAACACGTTAGACAACTGAAGATGAGATCCTAAACTGACTTTCCCTTGTTGATTTGCCACAGTAAAACGACCATCGGGAAGCTTTATATATACCGGAGCCATAACACATATATCCGTGAGAAAATCAACACTTCCTGTCATGTGATTCGAGGCACCCGTATCTATAATCCAAGATTCAAGAAAATACTTACCCGAAAGACGTGACGAACCGCCATGATCTTCACATACGAACCCGTGCATACAAATGATAAGTTCTATTTAGAGACTTTCTTTGTTCAAGCCATGATCTTCACATATTTGTAGATTCTCTAATGAAGCCTTGACCAAAAATATCTAATGAGCTTTACAAGAGTTGTTAGTAAACGTCTTGGTCACAGACTCTTTACGTTCTTGTTCTCTGATTCTCTGTCTCCAAAAGTGAAGAAGGGCTGATGCAACATGGCAAATCTTGCGGTCTTTATGTTTTGTAAGTCCCTCAAGCTTATCCATCATCCTCCTTGGTTCTTTTGGTTTTGGAGTAATATTGATTTTCATCAGTAACAAGAGAGCGTCAACGCAACGAGACGCCTCTCGTTTACCAGAGAGAACGCCCTTTGTGTTGGCCACATCAACAGATTTATTTGCTGCTTCGAACAGTTTTACCATCTCATCCCCTTTCTTGTTTTCCAGCTTCTTTTCTGTTATAATAGTCTTCTTTATCAATGAACCGAAACTTAGTATGTCAGTAACATCTTCATGTGGCTTCTTCGTCGTATCATCCTCCAAATCAACACGCCTTCTCTTCAAGTTGAGGGGCTTTAGATCGGTCTTCTCTTTCTTAAAATATTTCTCGCCACAAGTCTCAGATTTATGATCCTCTCTGTGTTTCAACGCCAAAAAATAGTTCCTTGTTTCTTTCTTAATCTTCTCTGTTTCACTAGTCAATGATCTCTTATCTTCTTTCGTATTCTACTCTGAAAGTTTGATTGTTTTCTTAATCTCTACCGCTTCAAGAGTCTGAGATATCTCATCTTCTTTATTCTTCAACACCAAAAGGGTGGTGACTTCACGAGCCATAGAGCTATGTTTATAATTCATGTCTGTACCGATGCTTATAACAAATAGACTAATGATGGATACGACTTGATTCAGTATTTGCAACAAGGCATCGAGAAGTAAACGAGAAATTTGTTAATTAATAAACCAGAGTAGACTCAAACTAAAAGTAAAAGTCTTTTTTTGAATCAATGAAAGATGCATATTATATATTCTCTTTGTAAATAGCTACAAAGTTGTTTTTTTTTGCTAAAAGCTGCAAAGTTGTTAATAACACAAGCGTTTAATCAAACACAAGCTTGCATGTCTTTGAACCTCTGGCCATATATTCTAACTCCTTCAGTATCCCATGCTTCTCTCCAGATTCTGAGTAGAATGTCGCCTTCTTTAGACGACTCGCGTTTGCTAGAATGTACTTTGCAACTTCTCTCTCTTTCTCTTTACCGTTGTATTGCCTCCACTCAAAGATCTCAAGATATGATGATAAACACATGGGAACATAGTCTGGTTGGTTCCATTGATCCATCGCCTCGTTGTACCGAACACAATGTTTTCGATACTACAGAACAAAGAAAATATACATTCTGTCAGTGTTAATAGGTCTTGAAGAAAGTGGAAACACGATACACAAAAAGGCAACAGACGATTCTAAGGAGGAACCACATACCAATTTGAGCTTAAGAACTCGAAGTTTCGGAGCATCATCGAGTATACAGGTCAGTAAGTTCCACCACTCCGTAGAACATAAACATAGCTCTAGATGGTCAAGAAATACGAAGGAAGTCCCAGTAGGAAGATACGAATCCGGAGTCTGCAAATGAAGCAAAACATAGAGAGTAAGAATTCAAATAGAAAAGGCTAGATACTTGACAAACAACCAAAAAAATTTGTACCTCTGAAGTGACAGAACACAAAGAAAGATATCGGGTTGAGGCAAGAGATCCTAGAAACTTGTCAGGTTCGTCATAAACAACGTTGACTCTCGCCTTGACCAGCTGGGGCATGTTTTCAAACTGTAAATAGTTGCTGAAGCTGTCCCTAATGCTAAAGCATCTCAAAGAAGGGGCATTTATCACAAATCCATGAACACCTTCAGGCCGAGATTTCCCAGAAGTATTATCGATAGATAAGATCCTCAGCAAAGGCACATCGATAGTAAATATCATTACATTGGTAAGGGAGCTTCGTTTCACTACCAACTCTTCAAGAATGGGGCATTTGCTTAGAAGTTTTTTCACAGATTCGTCCCCCATGAACTTGACCGATAAAAGGTGGAGACGTTTGAGGCAAGGCAAATGAGCATTACGTGGAACATCCTCCAAACTTACTTTCTCAAGTATAACAGTTTGAAGTTGTGAAAACATGAAAAAGCTTTTGGGCAACTCGAAGGACTCACAAATCATCTCAATTCTCAGCTCTCTCAAGGATCGAGCAACTGCAATGTTAATCAAAGGTTTGATGTCTCTTTGTGTACAATGAGGATTCAGCTTGAGCTGCATGGTCTCAACGCTTGATCTTTTGCTAATAAACAGCACAAACTTCCAGTAAGTTCTACCTATGCATTCACCATCATACCTGAATGTTTTCACCTCCGTCCAAAGAGATCGCCAACGTTTTGACAAGACACTCGTGGCTACCACATCTTTACTTGGAAGTGAAGAAAGTATATTCAACAACAATTCATCTGGAAAGTCACTGATTGAAGCCATAACTTCAAATCGGTGAAAAGTGAAAAGTTTATGAAAGATCTAACGCGTTTTTATAGGGAGAGTTTGGGATTGTCAATGTAAATCTTGTTCCCAATTTGTTTTCTCAATATGCTTTTTTTCACTTTTATGTCCAAATTTTACCTACATAAGCTAAAAACAAGGAAAGAAATCTTTTATAAGAGAAAGCACAAATCACTTGACCAATAGAAATGTGAAATGTGACAAGTTCATATAATCTTCTAATTTTTATTTTTTTTGTCAGAATTTAATTACTTCACATGTAAGGAAGGGGTACTCAAATATTGAATTTAGAAGAATTCATAAGAACAAACAAAAATGATAGATTTTTTAAGTATCTGAAAGTTTTTAATAAATTTTATCCAAATAAATATTGACACCATAAAAGGTGTGATTTGGTTCTTCACATATTTTACAGCTAGTTTTCTATTAAGGTTCTAATTAAATAACATTGCCATTAAAATTATCCTAATATTGAAAAACATCAACATTTAATAGAATTTTAAAATCACTAATTGAAAAACAGTAGAATTAAGAAACTATGGAATACATAACTAAATAGCACTAGATTTATATATAATTCTTAAAAAAAGTTAAAATGAATAACATTCTTACGTTCAATAACCCCAAGTGCATTTCTTTTTGTTACAAAACTTATACAGAGAAAATCTTGGCGAAATAATTATTTTAGCCAATCAGAGAATCCTTTAAAGGAAGATATCCGATATTGTTGGAAGCAATAGAAAATTATCTATACTGTATATGCTATAGATACAAAATGGTTATGTATATGCACATATCTAATGAGCTATACGAGAGTTGTTAGGAAACGTCTTGGTCACAGATTCTTTACTTTCTTGTTCTCTGATCCTTTCTCGCTAAAGGTGAAGAAGGGCTTATGCAACATCACAAATCTTGCGGTCTTTCTTGTTCTTACCTCCTTTTCGTATGTCAATTTGATTGCGCAAACTGATGCAATCAAGTTTTAACTCAATATGCTAGTCAGTAAGTGCACGATTATATCCAGTGGTAACGAACTCACAAGAATCATCAGGGTCACAATTTTAGTATTCTGAGAACTATGTTTAACCAAGACGTACCCATTTTTCGTGTCTTTTGTATTGATTACACTAATGAAATTAGATAGCAGTAGAAGGAAATTAAAGAAGCAAGGAAACTGAAGAGATCGTAAATAGGATTAAAAATATTGGGCATTAGGATTGTTCGCAGGGGTTAATCGTCCTAGAAAAAAAAATCAAAATTGTTATAGCTAGGACTCATACTAATATTGATTATCAAAATTGTTATAGCTAGGACATCGTAATTATCAAAGAATTATTTCTTAGGTTTAAATTATAACACGTTAAAAGTTTTGATTATTACACAGTTTTTTTTTTCTTTTTCTCATTAACCCTATCGGTTGATCCGGTCGGCCCCGGTAGGAACGCATCGAGGTACTACAGAGTGGACTATTCATGTGGTTCAACAGTTCAACGATTCAATGGACACCATGAGCTTCGAGCGGACTCGGGTCAAACAATGGGTCATGAGATTCGTGAGATCCATGTAATCCAAAATTGGGTTACTACACTGCTTGTTTCGAGTTTGGACCTTTCGACTAATGCCAGGGATAGTCAAACCCGCATGCATTTCTGATTACCAGGTAAATCACTGGCCAACGCCCAACTGACAGACTTTCCACACAAATGTGTTTTTGTTTCCAGAGAGGATCGAATTCGGATACGGGAGTTTCACCTTCACCAAAGCTTTCCTTACTACTAAACCACAGATGTGCGGGCATTATTACACAGTTACACCTTGGCTTGGAGCTTTTGTTATGAATACGTGTCCATGGTGTCAACTGTAAAACGTTGAAAGGTTTTTGCGATGTTATACTTAACAAGAGTATAAAACAAGAACAATACAAACTTCAAATACATTTTTATTTATTTATGAACTGGCCCCGAAATGAGATCCAATTATCACAACATTATTAACAACATACAATACACGTAAGGTTTAGGTAGTCTTAAAAAATAATAATACATACAGTACAATTGTTATTACGTTCGAGGTTTGGATTTATATCAAGGGCTTCCACTTATTTTGTGAGGAACCTAGAGAACCATTTTCCAGAAGCTTTTTCTTTTCGATCAGCAGGATTAGTGAAGTTGACCCAATTCATACCAAACCGGAGAGTGTAACCATTTCCGAATTCGTAATTGTCCATCAATGACCATGCAAAATATCCTGCTACGTTGCATCCATCCCTATAAAATATTTTTCGAAAAGTAGTTTTGGTATATTAACATTTATAATTGTCTGAAGAAAGTATATAAAATAAATAAAACAGGAATTATAACTCACTTCATGGCACATTTGAGACAAGAGAGATGGCTGCAATGGTTTTGAATTCGTCCATTATCGGCAAGAGCAGTTGCAAGCGTTACGTTTCCAAGATCAAGATCAGCAACTCCTGAAAATTTAACATAAGATTTATGATAAACAAATATATAAATCGATTTTTCATTGGTTAAACATATTTGAATGCAACATAAAATGATATGTACATACCATTTTCGGTGATGTAGGTAAGTGGATTTTTGTAGTTGTCTTTGATGTAGTTTAGAATCTGACGGAATCCTGGAGGATAGTAGACGAAGCTAGGAGCCTGTAGAAGAAAGAAAAAATAGAGTTGAATTAGTAATCTTTTAACTATGAAAAGGATTTTTTTCAAATTTAAGTCGATACTTGCCACAACACCAATAGGAACTCCATTGCGGTAAACTGAAACCAAATAAATGAATAATGAGTATGGATACTTAAAATATAAATAAATAATATACACAAAAAAAATACGGAAAAAAAAGTTTTACTTACATCCAAGAGTAACTCGTGGATCCGTTATTGCACTAGGTTGTGTCGGAGCAGGTGCGTCGGTTGCATATTGTGTAACGTAATAGTTCAACCCTAGAAAATCAAGTGATCCTTTTACTAAAGCTGATTCCTCCGATGTGAATTCTGGCAATCTATCTCCTACCATCTCTCTCATTATCTTTGGATATTTTCCATACACCAATGGATCCAAGAACCTTAATTCATGTAAGAAAAGATTCATAAATTAGTGTTGCAAATTAAAGTGTGCTTTTAACAAAATCTTTCCAACTAAAACTTTATATATATATGTGCATGTATTTTGAGAATCATTTAATTGAACATAAATATATATACCATCCAACGAAAAAATCGAATGCTCGTTTTGCAGCAGCCTTGTCGAGGTTGCTAGATTCGTTTAGTGGGGCGAACCATCTCCCGATCAAGGTTGTTCCAATCTTACCACCTTGAAATTTCTGCATAAATATTTTTAGATTATATACTACAAATATGTAAAAATTGACGCACAAATGAAATTCTCAGAGATGTTACACTTTATATACCTGATATCTTTTTCTGTATAAAGATACAGCTTTCGCATGAGCTAGAAGTTGGTTATGTGCAACTGTATAAGGTTCCACTCCGGAATCTCCTCCAAATTCACAGTCAGTGCACCGGCCTGGTGGATATGATCCATCTCCATAACCTTTGGTTGCAAGAGAGAAAGGCTGATTTAAAGTGATCCAAAATTTGACTCTGTCTCCGAATCTTTGGAATAAAAGCTCAGCGTAGTTTGTGTAGTCCTCCCTATTCATGTACCGCACATATTAGACATACATAGATTTGATAGTGATGTTACATAGCCTAAAACAAAGAAAAGAAAAAAAAAAGGAGTTTTGAATAAAAATCGTTAATGTACTTACACTATACGTGGGCTTAAGAAGCCTCCATATTCGTCTTCTAAAGTCTGGGGAACATCCCAATGAAATATAGTCACATATGGTTCTATGCCTGTATTCATGTAAGTTAAATGTTTATATGACAAATATAATAAAATTATTAAAAATGTTTGATTAAGTACTAGAATTTCGAATTTACCATTAGCTTTCAACTCGTTAATGAGATTGTTGTAGTATGTTATCCCATTCTCGTCCACTCCCCCACTCAGTCTTCCCTCTAAGATTAGTATATAAAAATCACAAAATTCTCGGTCATTGAATGTAAAATTTAACTGATTTCTTTTGTTAATTAGATGAAATCATGAAGACTAGGAGAAGTGTTTTTCTGGTTTTTGTATTTACTTGGTAAGACCCTTGACCATGCTATTGAGAGTCGGTATGCTTGAACATTCATTCTTTTTAGTAGTTTGACATCATCCTGTTCAAGGATAAATGAAAGTTGTAAAATTAAATTGAAATTACAAAACTGAAATAATATCATCATATCTACATATTTCATCAATGATAGCCTCTTCTTACCTTATAAAGATCATACGAATCACAAGCAAGGTCTCCTGAACTGCGATCCGGTACTTTTTCTGTATATAAATAACAAAAATCATGACCATCAATAAATCTTTTTAACATCTATAGGTACGATTTTCTCATACATTGAGGATCATAGTAACAAATAATATGTTAAATGATGTTTATGACCTGGATATCTATGAGTGAAGTAGTCCCATCCATTAAGTGCTCTATGTGCTGCACCTTCAATCTGGTAGAACAAATTAAGTCATGTTGGATATATATACATATTGTAAGAAAAAAAATAATGAAAAATCCTATATATAGCTATAAAAATCGATCCCCAAAAGCCAAGATATATATACTTGATATGCCGAAGTAGCTGCACCAAAAGTGAAATTCTTGGGAAATCCAGTTCGGTTGAATGCATGAGTATTGTCGCAGTGGAAGGGTTCTTTGGCCTTGCATTCTGGATTGCAGACTTTTTGGCTACTCGAAACGACAAAGAGCACGACAAGAACTGCTAAAGAGTAGTGAGCTTTTGGAATTGCCATGGTTGAGTTTGTATTTTCTTTATTGATGGGCTTATTTTGGTGATGATTAAACGATGAACTTGGAGGGGTTTATATACAGGCGTTTGAGTGCATGGGACTTGCATGGAGATTCAAGTTAACTCGTTACGTATATTTGCATTGCATTTTAATTATTCTCCACATGTTCTCCAGCTCGCTGTCTTGTTTTCTAATAAAAAAAAAACTACATCTTATCAAACTTAATAAACAAATTATACACTTTTGAGTTTTACGGCACCATATTTCTCTTATACATTACCTGCACATGTCTGCGTGAGAATATATGTTCCTTAACCATAATTAATATCAATTTATAATTTTATGAAATTGGCTGGAGGTTTAAGTTCCGTGTCCCTTCTCATTTAGCTAACATTATGGTCATTTATATTATTCCTGAATGCAGCAACCTACGGTTCCATAAGCAAAACATGACTTGTCTCATAATTCTCATTGATAAGTATCAAATATTTAACTAAGAAATTTAGAACCCTATCTTAAGGTACAACGTAACGTGAGCATATAATTTTATTAATTAGAATCATATAACTAACTATACATTTTAATAATACATATGACATTCTGGTACTATTTTTATCAGGGAAAATATAGAAATACATATCTGACATTTTGTATCATACCTAAAACTCTGAAATAATCAATTTATTAATTAAAATTTACGTAGAATTTATTTTTACAAGAATTTTTAATTTTATGAAATTGGTTGGAGGTTTGATTTGTTCCGTGTCCCTTCTCATATAGCTAACGTTATGGTCATTTATATTATTCGTGAATGCAGCAACCTACGTTCCATAAGCAAAACATGACCTGTCTCCAGTGGCGGATCTAGCGGTTTATTTTACCGGTGGCAAAAAAAATTATATACATATATTGCTAAATAATATAATAATTTTCTATCTACCTAAATTAATTTAGAAAAGGAAAACTTACAAATTATGTTGAATGAAAACTGATTGTACTATTACGAGAGAGAAAAAGGAAACAAAATGACAAATAACTTTCAGTTTTGGGAAGTGATTCTCTTAATGGGGGCAGAAATCATATTTTTAAGGGGGGCAATACATTAAATTCTTAGAAATTTATAAGGAAAATTAGAAAATTGATGGGGGCAACTGCCCCCTACTTACCATACCTAGATCCGCCCCTGCCTGTCTCATTAATAAGTTTTAAATAGGGAAAATCACATTTTTAACCCTCAAAGTGTAACTGGATAGCATTTTAAACCTCGAAAGAATTCTACTAACACTATAAACCACAAAGATTGTTTTACTAACACTTTAAACCTCCAAACTAGTTTTTCTATTTACAAAGCCATAAAAGATGATGGAACAATCAATTTATGTTTGTTTAATATATATTTATTTAGTTTAATTTATATTTAAATTAGTTTTATTATTTATTACGACTTTGACGATAAATAAAAAAGTAAAAAAAAAAAATCATCATTTTCGACTATTCACCGTCCGACCACAATTTTTTAGATTTTTATTCAGTTTATTGTATGTGTTCCCCATCTTTTTTATTCAATTGGTATTATGAGATTCCAATTTATCCACTGGAAAGAGTGAAAACACTTATGGATTAGTCTAAAAGATTTTCTAATAGTTCATAAAAAAATTTCATGGTCGGACAGTGAGTAAACGAAGAAAATAAAGTTTTTTTTTTTGTTTTTATAAATTTTTATTAATTGTAATAAATAATAAAATTAATTAAAATTTATATTAAATGAAACAAATATATATTAAACAAACATAAGTTGATTGTTCCATCATCTTTTATGACTTTGCAAACAAAAAAGTTAGTTTGGAGGTTTAAAGTGTTAGTAAAACAATCTTGGTGGTTTATAGTGTTAGTAGAATTCTTTCGAGGTTTAAAGTGCTACCCAGTTACACTTTGAAGGTTAAAAATGTGATTTTCCCGTTTTAAATATTTAACTACGAAAATTTAAACCCTATCTTAAAGTACAACCAGGGCCGGCTCAATTAATTTGGAGTTCCTATACAAATCTTAAAATTGGCCCTTTCTTCATACAAAAAATTGGCCTTTTTCATACTAAATAAATATTTGAGTCTTTTTCATGCTAAAAATATCTTAAAATCTTAAAAATTACTTAAATTTACCCAAAACAATTTGGGTCCTGCACATTTGCTCCTTTTGCTCACCCTAAGAACGGGCCCTGGGTACAACATGAGCAAATAACTTTCTTAATTAGAATAATATAACTAACTATAAAATTTTAAAATACATATGAAATTCTTGTAATATTTTTAGAGGAATTCTTCAATATACCACAGTTTTGTTGCCAAAAAATACCACTATTAGTTTAGTGTTATAAAATACTACCAAAAGTTTTGGTTTTTCAAAAACACCACAAACACCAAAAATGATTTTCAAGGGTTCAGAATTTAAATTTTTAGATTTAGTTTAACTATTTTAGATTTACCGTACAGTTTATAGGGGATAGGGTTTATTAAGTTTACGGTTTAGTTTTGAAAGTTAAAAGCTTAATTTTAGTTTTGTGGTATTTTGAAAAACCAAAACTTAAATTAGTATTTTGGAAAGTGGTGGTATTTTTGGAAAATCAAAACTTAAGTTTGGTATTTTTGGGAATTGCCCATATTTTTATCAGGGAAAATATGGAGATACATACTGGACAGATTGTTTCATAGCTAAAAGTCTAAAACTCTGAAAATAATTAATTTTATCTTTATTTTTAAGAGGTAAAAATCTGATCTAAAAAAAAGGATTGAATCATCCAACGATCGTGAGTAATTTATTTAGATGATGGCCGAATGATTTTCTAAGATTTGCATTATTTTGTTTTAGGTGACTGGTAAGGAAGCTATTGAAAAAGCCAAACTTCTTGCTCTCAAATAAGAATTGTTATAACTCTGATCCTACTTTTTGTTGTATTCCGGTCGTAATCTTCTTTTTGGGGTTTTGTTATAAATCTAATTTGATCGTTTGAATCTTCTTCAGTGGCATAAACTCTTTATTTTGTATGAGATTTTTTTCTTTTTTGATGTTTCTTCTTTTGTACTCGTGTGATAGATACGACATCACGTTGAACATAAATAACTTGCTGATGACAAACATTTTGGTCATGTAAGTATTCATTTATGCTCTGCTTTTGGTATTTGACGGGTGAAACTAGGTCTTATAATCAAGAATGATGATCATGTTTTATCAATTGGAGTAGAGATGGATTTAATTCTTCACAGGTCTGGATGGTTTCGGGGAAAACTTTTTTTTATTTTATGTGCTAAAATACGACAATTGAGGTCATTAATCAAAAATTTGAATTTATGTATATCTTTTGTATAAGTGAATTCATCTAATAATATTTGTTATTTGTTACATTTTGGTCATGTAAGTATTCATTTATGCTCTGCTTTTGGTATTTGATGGGTGAAACTAGGTCTTATCGATTTATTTTGATGACAAAATAATTGATGATATTTGTTGTTTATCTATCTCTAGCTATTACTTTGATTGGTGATTATTTTGATCATCATGTTTTATCCATTGGAGTAGCTAGAGATGGATTCAATTCTTCACAAGTCTGGATGGTTTTGGGGAAAAACATATATATTTTTTTAATTTATGTTTATCTTTTGTATAAGTGAATTCATCTAATAATATTTGTTATTTGTTGACAAAATAATTTTTATTTTATTATATTTATAACATTAAATTTCAAATTAAAAACTACAAAATTTATAACATCCAAAAGACCAAAACATTAATTTTATTTAGATAAAATTCTTTTAATTCATATTTTTCTAGACTATTAACCATTAAAATAAATTTTCTATAAACTAATAAATAAAAATTAAGTAATGTCATAAATTGATAAAATATTATAATTAATATATAGAGATTTTACTGTATTTAAAATTTTTGGCTTTCCTGGTCCTAAAGAAAAAAAATTTGTGGGAAAACTGGTTGGAAGTTTAGTGGACAAGTTCGTACCTCGCTTTCTTCTACTTTCTTAGTGTTTTTCCAAAATTTTTGAGTTTTTATAGATTATGTGGACTCGTTGTTGATCTTTTGCCCCTTTGTTATGCAGATCGCCATTTTCGAGTGGTTTAGATTTTATCAACCAGATGTTCCCAGCAGGTAATTCTTTGTTGATTTCGTGATTTTAACTCTGATATGTGAGTTTCTCAAAATTGGTGTTTTCCCTTACAGAAGCATATCTACTTGGACTTAAGCCACTAATGCAAAAGATTCATCATGAGATGCAACGGATTGATGCTACCATACTAGCTGCTGTTCGTCCACAGGTCGTTTTCTTGAATTTATGTGAGAATTATAATGTTTTTACTTTACAAGAATTATATTGTATGCTAAGGAAAAAGAAGAACTTTGCCTCTATGTTCAAAAAATAATGTATACATCTGAAACTTATTTTTGGTCTCCCAGAGTGACTTGGGAACAACTGAGGATCTTGATGATGCTACATGTGCTGTGGAGGTTAGTTTCTCATAGCTTGATATGCGTTGTATTCGTATTGTCAAAATATCTTATCAATCTGTCTTTTACTCTTTGTCATTTCATTCGTAAACCTCTATATTCTTTATAACACAGGAACTTTCTCATAAGATTGACAGTGAACTTCGGCGGGTTGATGCTACTCTATTTGCTGCTATTCGTCAACAGGTAAGCTTTGTTTTACTTTTTCTTCCTCGTCGCTTATTTATGTGAGGTTATATACCTTATGTAAATCATTGTATTGAATGCACTATGCACTATGAAAAAGAATAATTTTGCTTCTATGTGCTTCTGAATCTTTTCCTGGGTCTGGCTATCATTACTCCAGCGTAACTCGGTAAATAAAGCTAAAGAAGATCTTGCTAATGCTACACTTGCTGCACGGGTTAGTTTCTCATAGGTTGATATGGATGCCTACTTTCAAGATATCGTTTCCTTCTTTCATTCTCTTATCACTCTTGTCTTTTTAACCCAGGAACTCTCTCATAATATTCAAGAGATGAATTCTAAAGCTGAGAAAAGTGAAGCCACGGTCCAAGAAAAATGCCGTGCCATTAAGAAGTTAGATTTTGCAAAGAAGAACATAACCACGGTAATCAATCCCCTCCATCGCCTCACAATGGTAGGTAAGTTATCAATAATCACTCCATTCGACTAGTTCAGCATTATCTTCAACCATATCGAGTCATGGTATCCTGAAATCTGAATGATAGCCAAGAGTAATGAACAGTATTACAAAACAAACCCTATATAATTAGGCTACATGAAGTTACTTGTTAACCTATTAGTGAATGTATGCTGTTGTTTATGTAGTAACTTAATGTATTAGAAGCTCATTAATGACACTCACAACCACACTATGGCAGTCTCTGCCGTTGTACAGCTTCAGGGGATGGCGTCAAATAGGCAATACAAGGAGGCAGCTGCGCAGCTCGAGGTAATTTTTTTAGTTAAACAATCTATGGTGTTTACTGTTTACGTTTAAGTTGGTCGTACTTCACTTGCTTTAGCTTTATGTTCACCATGGGAGCCCAAGGCAGTTCTTTGCCATTTTGAAAATCAATTTTTGATGCTAGGTTACCTAGGTGGATTTTCTAGCACATTACTCTTCTCATTTTCTGACCCTATCATGTTTTTTCAGGCCGTAAACCAATTATTGAATCATTTCGAAAGGAATTGGGATGTTCCTAGCATAACGGATGTCAGAGAAAAGCTTGAGAATATAAAGCAAATTCTTAAGTCTCATGTATTTTCTGATTTTTCCAGGTACTGCCTTTAGTGAGTCTACCATATTTTACATACTTAAGTAAGTCCACAGAGGTGGTAAAAAGATATTCACTGTAATGTTCGTATGTTTTAACTGTTGGTACTAAGGTGATGATTTTGCACTCTTGGTATATAAATGGAGGGCTTTTTTATTGGCTTCTCTCTTTTTGTTAAAATAGTACTTGCATAATCATATAGGCTATTTTCTGCTTCATGTTGTAGTAAACCACAAATTGTCTTAAGATGTTTCACTAATCTCTCAATTTCCCCTCTCGCATCCTCTACGGTCCTCCTTGTTCCAATAATGTCTACTGTTGTGATATCAGTCTAGGTACTGGGAAAGAGACAGAGGACACAAATTTTCTAAAGAAGTTATCTCATTCCTGCTTGGTTGTCGATGCGTTGGAGCCATCTGTGAGGGAAGAGTTGGTAAACAACTTTTGCAGCAAGGATCTAAGCTCATATGAACAAAAAATTATAGGAGCTGGTATGTTAGACTTAATATCCCTAGGTTTTTTATAGGTTTTTCTTTGTTGTAATTTTTAAGTGTTTCATTGTTGGCAGAATTGACAAATTTGGATGAAATAAGGCGGATATACAATCAGATAAATTGTCATATCCGAACAAATCAAGAAATTTGGAAGATTTTTCCTGCTTCGTGGCATGTGCCTTATGGACTCTGCATCAAGATCTGCAAGATAACAAGGTAGCAACTTCTGAGTTTTGTTGAACTGGCCTCTCGTAAATTCATATTCTTTTCTCTTGGAGTCTTCAGAAAATTTATGACATGTTCTGTGTACCTTTCTTTTGGTTTGTATCTCTAATCTTTTACTGATTTTGGTCATTTTTTTGTGAAAATTTTAGCCTCTGTATTAACTTTTAACCATTATCTAACTGTATGCAGCCTCTCAAGCCTTTCCATTATTTATTTTCAGGGGCCAAGTAGAATCTATTCTGGTCAATATGAAAGGAAAGCCAGCTGTAGCGAGATTGCTTCAGGTCAGGCACGCTTGCCCTAACAATAGTGGAATGTCTCAGGATCTCTAGTAAAGTTTGATGTCATTGAATGATTAGGAACTGGAAAGGACGCTAAAGTTTGAACTGGAACTTGAAATGAAATTTGGTGGTGGTGTTCCTACTAAGCATATTGGAGATGACATTGAGGAAACTGTTGACGGAGAAAGTTATAGTCCGAATGTATCCGAAATTCACATGAAGTTTGCTGCTAATCACGACTTGGTGGAAACTGTATACTTATTTTTATATTTTGAAAAAAGCTAGTAGTTTTTTAAGACTTAATTCTGAAATTTTTGCTAGCAATATTATGAGAATTGCAACTTGTTCCATACCTGGAAAATCAGTGACATGTTATCCACTTGAACCATTGCTCACTAGTTACTTGACCTGGCAGATTAACTTGCGTGGAATTATCTCTTCTTGCTTCGAGCCTCATTTAACCCATTATATTGAGGAGGAACTTATGCAGTACCTGGAAAAAGTTGTTCAGGTAATTTGATATATTTGCTTAAAGAAAGCGTTTTCATCGAAGCTTATCAAGTTTTCTTAATATTCATTTTTCTTTCTGTCAGGAGGAAACATGGGATACTGATGAGGAAAATCTAAATAATATTTTATCTAGCAGTAGAGAGGTGAGTACCTAGGCAAGCTTCTTTAAGTAGAGTTATGTGATAGTTTTTACTTGTGAAGTATAATTTATAATTGCCTTGTTTGCAGTTGTTTTTGGCTATAAAGAATAGCTATGACAAGTGTAAAGCTCTGACTAAGAACCAGACTTTATTCAATTTATTCAAGGTACCAATATAGTGATATGCATATACTAACTCACGGTTCCATAGTAGAACAAAATTTAAGATAGATGGAGATTTTGAGTTTCTTCTAATGAAAGGCTTTTCTCTTTACAGGTCTTTCAACGAGTTCTACAAGCCTATGCTACAAAGCTGTTTTTTAAGCTCTCCAAAGGAGGCACTTGTAAACAGATAAAGGTGCTGTGCACTGCTTTCTGTTTCCCATGTGTGCTTTTTGATGTTGTTAAGCTTTTTTTTTATTCCCCTATGCAGGTCTCGGGGATAGATGAAAGGTTGATATGTTACATAGTTAATTCTGCTGAGTATTGCCGCAAAACAGTAAGCTTGTTTGACTATCTACTGCTTAATTGAACAACAACTTGAAACTTCACAAGGATTTTTTAATTGTTTTTGCAGTCTGGTGATTTGGCAGACGAAGTCTCGACAATTATTGACCCGCATTATGCAGATGGTGTAGACATGTCAGAGGTCCAGGTACTATTGACATGGAGGACTTATAATTTTTCTCAAATGTATTATGTATTTTGGATTTTTCTTAAACAATGGTACTGTGCAGGATAAATTTTCGTGCGTCATAACGAAAGCATTGATGACACTAGTCCGTGGACTGGAAACTAAATTTGACACAGAAATGCAAGAGATGGAATGTGTTTCATGGGGCACACTTAAGAGTGTTGGTGACCATTCTCAGTAAGATCTAACTGGGGTTTAAAGCTTCTATAGACAACCAGTATGACCAATAGACAACCAACACTTTGAAATCTGTATCTTTCTTGTAGGTATGTAAATGGAATATATACAATCCTTAACAACAGTGTTCCTGTCCTTGGGAAACTTCTAACACCAGTCTACTTCCAATTCTTCCTGGAAAAGGTAATTTTATAGTAAGATTTTATAACACCAGTCAAGGCCTCTAAAGCTATTACTAGTGACAGGTTACGCGATTAAGCCTTGGCTTACTTTATAGATGATGTCCCTAATTTTAAAAATCTTTTGTGCAGTTGGCATCATCCCTTGGACTACGGTTCTATGCTAATATTTTCAGATGCAAGAAAATATCAGAAACTGGAGCTCAGCAGGTTAGCCTGTGTACATTATGTTCCTCGATTTGCATGTGTTGTGATTTTCTCCATATGAAAAAAGGACCTAGCTAGTTTATAAGGTATATGCAAAGACTAGAGCTACTCAAACATTTTTATGTTTCTCTGTCTTTTGGTTTCACAGATGTTGCTTGATACGCAAGCCATGGAGATGATTCTTTTAAAAGTTCCATCTCTTGACAGACAGGTTAGCTCATCAGTTCCAAGTTATGTATCAGTCCCTCTGTTGGGGACTCTGTTTTTAAGATTAAACCTTGTCTATCGTTGTTAACCATGATGAAGTTATAATGATACTCTATGAATCCACAGCCGGTCACTTTTTTGTTTTTGTTTTGGAAATGGCATTTCAGACTGTAAGTGCTGCGAGCTATTCGGAATTCGTGAAGCGTCAAATGAGCAGGGCTGAAGCAGTCCTAAAGGTTTTCGCCTGAGCACCATCGAGACAAATTTCCTTTTCCTACCTCTCCGAAAACTATAATATCATCTTACTGTAGGTCATACTCTCCCCAATCGATTCAGTGGTAGACACATATAGTGCACTATTTCCAAAAGGAACACACATGAAGCTTCAGCGCATCTTAGACCTTAAGGCAATTTTGGCATTCTAAATCCATTTTCAAACTTGATTAATCTCACGCTAACGTCCTCCTCCAGTGACATTCTCTTCACTGTCTGGAAAATCCTCTCTTATTTTCAGCCAAAACAGGATCCTTAATGTACTAGGTCCTTAAAGAAAGGTGTAACTTATTTGATGTTGCAGGGTCTTACGAAAGCCAATCAGCAGAGTGTACTTGATGACTTCAATAAGCATGCCCCAAGAATCACTCAGCCTTCGGTTGCAGCAGAAATGCCACAACCGGTTCCAATCCCACCTGCACCGCCATTGGAAATCATAGCAAACAGTGAGGATGTTACAACCAGACTTGCAACCGCTAGCTATTAGGTTCTTATACTTCATATTGAGACTTTACAGAACAATACAAAGCAACCCACACTTGCATATAAACTTGGGTGTTGATGTCGGAAAAAAAAGAAGCTTAAACTTGCGTGCATTTGAATTATGTAACTACATATATTGTTATTTTGTTTTATGTTTCAAAATTTGCGTTTTATGTAACTAAGAGACGAATCTCTAATTCTAAATCTCTAAAGAAGATATTAAACAAAGGTTTTAATCTAAAATTTTTAATTGTGCAATCTTTTTCATCTCTTTGTTTTATGAGTATTGTCCTAGTTAGGTTTTAGGGTTTCAAAGAGAATTCATGGATTGCTAGATTAAGATTGTTAAAATAAAGATTTATCTAAATGAATTTTTTTTCATCTATTGTCTTTCTCAATGCTCAAACTTGCCTGATTACCTCGTTTACGATCTTAGGTTAATTTACTCATCAAAAATATATAGTTAAGTTGCATGGATCAACATAGATGAGCAACAAAAGCAGTTGATGTCAGGAGGTTTTGTGAACATAAATCAAACTTTGTGTTTTAACTTTCTGAATTTAAACGACAATTTATAAGTTTAGGTCGGTAAGCATAGTAGTCGATTCCACGACTTTATGTTAATTAGCAATAAATCTGTGTTTTGAGTTCTAAATCGATTTTTAATCTGATTCCTTGTTCAAGTATATGTTCTACAATTATTGTTTCTCTACGAATTGTCTTAATGCATCACGCTTTTAATTCATAAGTTTTTAATCCTTAGTCCGGATCCATGTCGTTTGTATTTTCTTTGCATCAAAACAATCGAAGACTCATATTTTGTTTTAGCTCTACTTTATTCGTGGATTTTTCTATTGTATAACAACATGTCTTTATGGATTTCATCCTTATTAACTATTGCTAATTATTGTGCTCTATATTAGCGATTATTGTAGACTAAAACAATTTACTAAACTGTGTGTTTGTGTAACTCTATTTTGTATTAAAGATTTGCATTTCTATTTACTATTGTAGAATGAAATTAGGATGTACTTTTTTTGTACATGTCCTTGTTTATCTGTTTCTTATTTACAATTTGTAGATTTTAATTTGTAAAATTTGTAGATTTTAATTTATTTTAGTCAGTGTCTTGAAGGTCAATTACCTGTAACAGTTGGCATAATTATAGTTGAAACACAGGATGGTTAGTCTCTTTTTGTGATTTAAGACCTTAAAGACACATAAAACATGTATTTGTCTGTTTTTTTATATTGTTTGTGTTTAATGTTGTGTTGCAGATGTCAAATTCACGAAATCTAAGCCTTCAATTCTCTTTGCAGCGCCAGTGCTAACGGCCATTGCATATCTTCATCCCCAACTTTTGCCACTCTTTCCAATCTTTGTTGGTGTTAATCTTTTGCCATTGCATAATCTTTTGTAGTTGATCCTTCCTCTTTTGTTGGTGTTATCTGTTCACAGTATTGAAGTTGATGGCTTCCTTTGTGATGCAAAACACTTTCCAATCTTTGTTGAAAGTTTCGAGGGAATTCACAGGGTAAGAAAACACTTTCTTTTGGTGTAAATCATTCAAAATTTTGTACTTTTCAGTTGACGGTTTTTTTTTCATTTTCAGGACGATCTAAGATCGTGTTTTATACTAGTTGTGGAAATGTGCAAAAAGAAGAGGCTGCTCTCTCTCAGTTATGTGAACGAACAACGTAGTTGGTACATTCAACCAACCTAGGGACCACGGTTTAATATGACTCTAAGTGGTCAGATGGAGTAAATCTCTATGAACTTCTGTGGACAGTAGACACCGTCAGCCGCATTACGACACGCTTTGCATTTCTAATACATAGGATTGATGATTTGGTCCATAGAATCCAACAAGAACAAGACCCTCTGGAACGAAATCAATTGTTGATAGATCTCAAGAAGTTGAAGAATAAACAAATCTTCTATGTGATCGACACGTGCCATAGACACGCATGAGATCAACTTCTCCTTCAATTTTTGGGGCCATAGGGAAGTAATCAATGGCTGAAGTAGCTCTTGTTGTTGCATCGAAAATAACCACGACAACACCTTTGATAACTTCTAGATGGTGTAACTGCTTTAAAATATGGCTTCATAATATCCATTTAAAGCATTTTCTATTACAATTGGTAAACAAAAAAACAAATTGACTACATTACAAGAAAGGAAGCATATTCCAAGACTCTTAACAATAAAAACTCAAGACAAATCCAAAAGGGACATTGTTGTGGACACTCTGACTTAGATCTCGTTGTTGATATACAAAATATCGTCTTTCGATATGTTCATTTTCCCATTGTTATTCCTTCCTGCAGTTCTTGTTCCAGCCCTATCAGATTGTCCTCTCTGTAAAGTCATCCAATAGAAAAAAACAAATGAGTAAGGAAAACTTAGTCCTGAGTATGTGAAATGAGACCCAAAAAACCTTTCTAAACACAAAAGAGAGGTACAGATACGCGGCTTCCCATTCATCCGCGGATAGTGTGCCTTCAAAAATATATCAGTTTGGTGGATTATTAATATTTTTTTTTTTGCTAGAAACAAACTGAAGATGATGGTGCGGATACAGAATAAGAAACGACACTCACTTTGGTTTCGATTACCATCACCTAAAGCACCAAGCTTTTGCATGAGCTCCAAAAACTCAGGTTTTTGCATGTACTCATGCACAAACTCATGAAAGTTCTTCACCAATACCAGTTCTAAATCATACTGCCAAAGTTTCATAAGACAAATAATGAGACACATCATCGAGTTGAATATGCTACGGTTTCCAATTTAGAAGACTTTTGTCTCCAATTGGATTGTTTTCATAGAACAAGACTGTAAAAAGGCACAAGATACCTCTTCTGCTAAGGATTTGAAGACGTGAAATGGCACAATCCATTCAGGACAATCAACAGCATCCTACATTACAAAATGGTGTATCATAATACTTACTCAACTAAAATATCCATTCTTTGAAAGTAGCTAAATAAGGCAGGAGAAGATAAGGGAACTCAAAGCATAGTAGATTAATTTTAGTACCTCAAGATGAAATACATACTTGATACCAAAGGGGCTGCTAGCATTAAACTTCTGAATCATGTAACAAGAATCATCATCAGAAACCGAAACAGGACTCGGTATCCAAATTCTGAAGGTAGGGAAACAAAAAAAACAGTAACCTTTTGAGAACACTCTTCACCAAAACGAATCCAGTATACACTATTACCAATCTCCAGACCTTCAGCTGCATATTCAGAACAAGAAAAGGTCTAAAGAGTAAAAGTTTGCAAGATCATGGTTAAAAATAAAGAAACAATTTACACTAGCTTGTGAGGAAAGAAAGAAACCTTCTCGAAGCTTTTTTATGATAACATTGGCGTCTGGCATTGTTCCAATAAAGATGCCTCCAGGTCGAAGTAAAGCTGAAACATTTGACAAGGCTCGTCTAGCACGGGTCTCAGTTGTCCAAGAGTAATGCATAGCAAACTACAAATCAAAATTGCTGACTTTTAGTAAATTCAGAATCTATAATAACTTCACCATGAACCTCAATACCAAAAGCTACTTAGATAACACTTAACTACATATATTAGAATCTGGAACAAAAAGTAATGACTGAAAACAAGCTAATTGAAGCATACAAAACCTGGCAACTGCAGATATCAAAAGGAGCATCCTCTTCAAGAATTTTGTCCAGCTCAATCTGAAAAATCAAGAAAATCTTAAAGTCGTTTTCGTAGTGTGCATCTGGAAATATACTATTCAGAGTTCTAAACAATTTGACAAGACTTGCTCATTTACCTCAAAACAATCCCCACACAATAAACGGGCTGGGAAACTATACTTTTTACGGCGATGATGATGGTCTGCATCACCATTATAACGCGTGCGGCAATCATCAATCTGTACAAGTCATTTACAAAGAAAATTTAGACAAATTACATAAATGAAGCTACTCATTCATTTAGACAGTCAACTTACCGACCCTTCAGCAATATCGATACCAACATAGTACCCGATCATCGCCTTCTCCCACTTAATCAAATCACCACCCTAACATAATAATAAAGCAGTATGTAAGTGTATAGCAAGAAAACAACATCCAGAGTAAACAATACAGAGTATTTTAAATACAAAAGTAACCTTCCCACAGGCAAGGTCTAGAACAGTATCATCACGACGAGTATAAAGCTGAATCAACACACTTTTAATCTGCACACAAAAACCAAAAAAAGAAGAAGAATCAAAGACATGAATACATTACTCCTTTTGGGATAACAAATTTCCATTAGAGGAGATAAAGATCAGTAACTAACTAACCCAATTGTTAAGTTTTTTTAAATGAATGATGGGACTTGATTCTCTTTCTTCTAAAGTTTGATTTGTTCTTCTACTGTAATGATCAGCGACCTTACGAGCAAAATTCTTGGTGTTATCATCATCTTCTAAAAACTCAGAATCACCTGATGATAAACCAGAAAGACACATTTCACACAACTCTCAGATATAAAAAGATTGAAACTTTAAGTTTGATTGAGAAAGCAAATTACAAACCACGACAATTTATATCATAATCAAAATCCAATGAAAACTGAAGAACTGGAATTATGAAAATCAAAAAGGAATAAAGCGGGAACAAAAACCTTCGGGATTTAGTTTGAATCTTGATGAAGAAGGAAGATCAGAGCTTGAGGGAGATTCGAAATTTCCTCGTTTCATAACAAAAAAATCCGAGAAATAGATTTGAAAACCAGACAATTCAGGAAGTATGTCCTGTCTCTTGGTTACAAAAACTTTGTTACTCGATGAATAAAAAAGAGGACTTTTTCAAATCTTCACACACAAATTTCACAATTTTCGATTTCGAAAAAATCGTTTTTTTTTTTTTGGAAACCCAATTTTAGCTCTTTATTACGTTCTGAATATGATTATTGATTCCGAAGAATTTGAAAACTGGGCTCTTTGGTAAAATGTAAAAGCTTGGGGACGAAAAAGAAAAACAAAAAAAAACTGTAAAAAGGCAAAAGGGTATTTTGGTAATTCTCACTACGCGGATCCTAAATCTCGAGTTCTTCACCGTTGATTATAATATAATCTAACGGTGATAAAGACCGATCCGCGTACTTTCTTCTTATTGGTGTAGACGAATTCTAAACAGTATATAAACTCTGGAGAAGATCAAGAGTTCAATACAACAATTCAATTCGTACAACTTTTTCCCTCTCATCTTTTTCAGAAAAGAATTCGAATCGATTTCAATGGCGGGTCGTGGCAAAACTCTCGGATCTGGATCTGCGAAGAAGGCAACAACAAGAAGCAGCAAAGCCGGTCTTCAATTCCCGGTGGGTCGTATCGCTCGTTTCTTGAAGAAAGGCAAATACGCCGAACGTGTTGGTGCCGGAGCTCCGGTTTACTTAGCCGCAGTTCTCGAATACCTCGCCGCCGAGGTAATTACTCTTCTCTATCCTTCAAAGTTTCGATCTTGTAGTTCAATTTCTATAAACCCTAATTTTGACTGATTTTGGGGGAATTTTGGGTTTTTAGGTATTGGAATTGGCTGGAAACGCAGCGAGAGATAACAAGAAGACAAGGATTGTTCCGAGGCATATTCAATTGGCGGTGAGGAATGATGAAGAATTGAGCAAATTGCTTGGAGATGTGACTATTGCTAATGGAGGTGTGATGCCTAACATTCACAATCTTCTTCTTCCTAAGAAGACTGGTGCTTCCAAGCCATCTGCTGAAGATGATTAATCAACCAAATCCACTCTCTGTTGTTTTAGTTTTTTGGGGCTTTTTAAGTAACTTAGATTAGATCTATGGTGAAGTAGAAGAATCTATCTTTTGTGTTTTTTGTTTTGAATTGAATGTTCATATGCTTCAATTTCTTATGGAATCAAGATTCAGACTTTTCTAGGGTTACGAGTAATTGAATGTTCATATGCTTTTAAATCACAAAAAAATTGATTGGTTGATATAAAGAATGGGTTTCTGGATTTAAAAATTTGGGAAAGCTATTGTGTATGACATCATGAGAGGTGTATAATTGAGCAACTATGACATTATTTTTATAAGAGATCTAAAGGATTGATAATGATTGGTGGGCCAATGATAATGTACAAAAACATCAATGAAAATGAGAGATGAAGAATATATAATAGAAACCGATTGAGAGAAAAGGATCCATCTCTACCACTAACCATATCTCCTTTTTCTTCCGTTTTTCCACACTTTGTCTCTTCCTTTCCCTTTTTCAGATTTGACCCTCTCTTTGTTTTGAAAAGAATCGATTTTCAGTAGCCGCCGGGAATTAGGAGAATGGTGTCTCCGGAGAACACAAACTGGCTTAGTGATTACCCTTTGATTGATGGTGCTTTCTCTGATCAGAATCCTACCTTCCCTTGGCAGATCGATGCTTCAGCTACTGTCAGGTATCTTTTTTAATCATGTGGGTTTAGTTTTTGCCTTCAAGGATCTCTGGAGTCTGGGTTTTGTTTCTTTCACCATATATTGGTTTTGTTTCTTGGCTTTGGACTTTTGGAGATTTAGGGTTGGTAGTAGTATCTGGAGAAGTTTTTATGGAGTTTGATCTTGTTGATCACTCAGAGTCAGATTGTTACTAAATGGTCTTTGTTGTGATAGAAATTGTAGGACAAAAGAACTGAGAATAAAGTATAATGCTTTTTCTCTCTGTTTTGCATCCATTCCTCTGTTTCCTTATGAAGTAGACGAATCTAGACATCTGCTTCTACTCTAAATTTCTACAAATTGCCTATAATCTTTGTAGTTGATCCTTCCTCTTTTGTTGGTGTTATCTGTTCACAGTGTTGAAGTTGATGGCTTCCTTTGTGATTCAGATGTGATCAAAGAACCAGGCTCAAGGAAGAGGTATCAAAAGCTATTGGTCAAACCTGCTTTAACTAATAACTTTTGGTTCTTGCTATCCAAGTTAGATTAATTTTGAGCCTGTTTAAGTTTACTTTTTCCCAATGTTCTCATTGCTTCAGGATCAAAACTGAATCTTGCGCTGGTTCTAACTCGAAAGCTTGTAGGGAGAAACAGAGACGTGATAGACTAAATGACAAGTATTTTCTTGCTTTCTCTTCGTTCTCTTTTATCATTTACCTTTTGAGTTCTTAATCTTTTGGTATGGTACTTTGACAATAGATTTACGGAATTGAGTTCCATATTGGAACCTGGGAGAGCTCCAAAAACAGACAAGGTTGCTATTATCAATGATGCTATTCGCATGGTGAATCAAGCCAGAGAAGAAGCACAGAAACTAAAGGACTTGAATTCAAGCCTCCAGGAGAAAATCAAGGAGTTGAAGGTAAAAAGATCTAAAAACTCGGCACTGTAGCCTTTGTATTATATTGTCCATTGATCCTATGTATATGCCGATATGTAGGATGAGAAAAACGAGCTGCGTGATGAGAAACAAAAGCTAAAGGTCGAGAAGGAGAGAATCGATCAGCAGCTGAAAGCGATTAAGACACAGCCTCAGCCTCAACCTTGTTTCTTACCAAATCCACCAACACTTTCTCAAGCTCAAGCTCCTGGAAGCAAGCTTGTCCCTTTCACTACTTATCCCGGCTTTGCAATGTGGCAATTCATGCCTCCTGCTGCTGTTGATACTTCACAGGACCATGTCCTTCGTCCTCCAGTTGCTTAAAGCTGCTGCTTCTCTCTACTATTGACGGTTCAGGTGCTTTTTTTCTGATGTATTGATTATCACATTCTGTGATTGGAGACATAATCCGATGCAACTTAAAATGTAAAAATGGAAATAAGCTTGCACTAAAATTCTAATCTCATTGTGCAAAAAGTCCAAATGAAATGTTAAACTCAATCAAAAGAAACTTTTTATTGAGACCTTCTCTTGTTCATGACTTTCTTCAACAGACTCTCACGACCAGGAAATGGACTTTGAATCTTTGGCTCAAGTTTCTTCTCTATATCTTCTAATTTTCCCAAAATACCCTTGTGCTCAGTCCTATTCACCGTTTTGCCATCATCTCTCCCAAGACTCTGTCTCATCCTTTCTCTCCTCTGTCTTCTCCTCCATCCATTCTCATCTTCTTCTTCCTTCTTCTTAATCTCTCTTCTTCTTTCGATCTCTCCTCTCTCTTCTTCCTCTTCGTTCATCTTGCTTAACCTAGGAATCCGACCACCTTTACTTGTCCCCAAAAGCTCGAAATTGATTTTGCTCCAACCAATCTTATCTTCATTATCCCAACCGAATCTCTCACTAATCTCCAACAACATCGAAACAGAGTTTGCCTCTTCTCTACTCTTCTTTACAGAAGTTAAAGCCCTCATGCTCTCATCACTTCCATGGAGGATTTTCTCTGCGAATTCCCACTCTGTCCGATCTTTATAAACATCGTCTTCGAGTACTTCATCTGCAAGCTTTGCCCAATACTCAGAATCTCCTGCACGAAGATTCTTTGAGACCCATTTGAGATAAGAAGAAGGTAAAGTACCAAGCATTTTGCCCTTGTGCTTGCCGAAGTCTATGATTGTGTCTCTGGCGGCTAGGGTTTCGATGATTTGAAGTTTTTTGATTAAGGGTTTAGGTTGATTGGTGGGGAAGATACGATTAGATGAAGAAAGATTTCTTCTTGGTCTGAAAGATGATGATGATGATGAGATTGTGAAGATGGTTGTTGTTGTTATTGCAGGGTGAGGATTGTGGAACAAGACCACCGAGAAACTCATTGTTGTGTCCTCAAAATATTATTTGTTTTTTTTTTCTTAAATCTTATAAAATACTTGCACACACTTATATAATATGTTAGTCTATTTTGGTATTAAAGAAAAAAAAAATTGTGTTGTGGGCAACTTGAAGTTGATTAACTACATAAGTGTTTTCCCTTTCCTTTGGACATACATAAAAGAGAAATTACATAAAATGGTAATCTCATCAAATAGTTGGTGTCTCTAAACTCTAATCTCTATGATTAAGATCTTAGAAATGCATAAGATCAAACGAGTTAGAGTCACGGCAAAATGTAACCTTTAAGAATTTTTCTACCCTGTTTAAGAAGACAAAAACTCTCAAAACGACGAAGATTCATGTTTTAAAAAGACTAATACGAAAAATGATCAATTAGGCAAAAAGAAGACAATGCTCACAAGACTAATGTTTAAAATCCTAATAACATCTTATCTTATGACAAGAAATGTAAAATTAGTGATTGAATACCACTAGTTATGCAATTTTGACATGAAAAAAATAAATTAAGTGTTCGAACAACATAAAATCTTAGTAGAATATCTTAAACAAATAATCAAAAAATTTGTTTAAATTTACAAATTAATGTAAATATCAAATTTAAGAAACCTTCTGAAATCTCTCAATCCTTACGAGATCTTATTTGGGAAACCAGATGTTCATACATCCTTGAAGATATTTGTTTGTACTTGTTAACCATCTTCTCAGGCCCTATATACAGATTAAGTTTGATCCAAGATCATAAAAATATGTTTTCTTAAGTTTGTTGGCATTGTATTGGGCTTGTGTCAACAAACTCTAAGAAAATATCAAAAAGTCTATGTGTTTAGAATTTTCTTACAAGTAAATCATATATATGCTTGCTATGACATTTACAAATGTAACTTAGAGAGTTGCCACTTACTCTATTTTTCTCCTTTATTTTGATATCGATCTAAACAACAATTTATTTTGGTAATTTTGAATTATTTTTTCCCTCTCTCTTTTTGCATTTAAATAATAAAGCTTTTTATGAGCTATCATATTTTCATTTTCATTTTGAAATCTTATTGAGCTCTTTTAACCTTGATCCACTTGCTTTGGAATTATCTCACATTTTTTAGTGCTAATTCTCGCTTCACATAAGGTTTGAAAATATGAGAGTAAAAATCAAGGATTAAGGCTTTAAAAATCCAGAAATATCTGAGGACGGATCAACCATGATGTCAAAAAAAAAAAAAATCTGAAGAGGGATCTCTCGATTGATTATAAGATTCACACTAAATGTTTCCTTCATTTTTTCAGATAAGAAAATTGGATTCTATCAATTTGTCGTCCTATTGTTCTTTTCTTGTTTCATATACGACTCACTGATTTTTTTAGTTGATTGGTAGAGAGTCTTAATGGAAACATCAAATTCAGGCAGTCCTTTTACAACCATTTCATCCATGTCGGTCGGCTCATTATTTCGCACCACAGAAGAATAATCAAAAACTATTATAGAAATTGGACCACTATAAGCACTTGAACAGTGGTCGTGCACTGTCTAATGTGAGCCCATTTTGGTAATTTACTCAGTTGTGTACGTACGCGATGTCGGCGTCACACCTTCAGAAACTTCGAAATTATTTTGATAAACCGTGTACCATACACGTCATTTTAGATACAAAATTAGATATTTTGGTTTTAACAGAAAGTCTCTCTTTATATCTCTTTCTATATATAGTGAATCATGCAACAAATACACATAAAACTTTGTGTTCTTGTACTTGTTTGGTGACTCAAGCAAAACTCCCAAGCTATGGCTGAGAAGGTACTCTATAATTCTAATTTCCCTTTTCTTGGATCTGAATTTTTATATTACTTCTCTTTTTATCAGATCTTAATATCCTTTTAAAATAACTGTTAATTACCCTTTAATACAGTTATTAATTAAGGTAATAATGATCAAATTATATGATGCAGGTAGTAGTGATGATGAAGTTGAAAGTGGATCTAAACTGTTCCAAATGCTATAAAAAGGTTAAGAAAGCTCTCGGCAAATTCCCTCGTGAGTTTCTTTCTTTAATTTCATTTTCTGCTCTTTTGAATTATAGTATATATTGAGGGGTGAGAATTGTCTGAATCTTGATAAATGGATACGGTTTTTGTGGTATGTGTTGTTTTGTCCAAAAATAGAAATAACAGACGAATTATTCGATGAGAAGTCGAACACGATCATCATCAAAGTGGTTTGTTACGATCCTGAGAGGCTAATGAACAAACTTTGCTACAAAGGAGACGGTTCTATCAAGTCCATCGTGATCCTTGAGCCACCCAAACCCCAGCCTCAACCCCAGCCTCAACCTCCTCTGAAGCCTAAAGAACCAGCCCCAGTCCTAGTCCAAGCCCCAGCTCCAGCTCCAGCTCCAGCTCCAGTTCCGGCTCCTGTTTTTGTTTCGGCTCCGGCTCCTCAACCGATGCCGATGTGGCAGCCGTATCATTGTGGGCCGTATTACGAGGCCCAACAACACCAATGTTACGGAAGGCCTGTTTACGAGAGCTGGGGAGGTGGACGACATTGTTGCCACGAAGACATGAACTCTCAAGGATGCTCCATCATGTGAAACGCTTGAATTGAATACAAGTCTCATACTTCTATAGACTATAGTAGTATATACTATATACTGTCCCAACCAAAAAATTCACGAAGCTATTTTTAATTTTCTTCGTCTTAGCAATATTTCTATGTCGAGGTATCCTTTGATTATGTCCAATTTTATACATACTATAGGGTTTTGTATCTTGTGTATATCGCGCTTAAGTAATAACCTATTACTTTCTCTTCTTTTGTTGTTAAATATACAAATAGTCTGATAGAGTTTTCTTGGCATTAATATATATATATACTAGAATTTAACCCGCGGTATACCGCGGGGCTATATTTTTTTAAAAAATGTAATGTTATTTTTTAAAAGATTAACTGAAGATATATCATATTAATTTGTATTTTTAAATGTAGATATCTATCTATCAATTTTTGAAGTATAAATACGAAAACATACATTTTTTTAAGTAACGATGTATGGTGGATTTTAAAATTTTGAATATTTTACTCTGCAGTATACCGTGGGTCGGTTTTTTTATAACTAAAAATTTTCAATTTTAGTTGGATTTGTTTTGTTAATATTGTTTCTTTTGTTTTGTGTTTAAGATTGTATAATTGTATTTTGATTGTTAATTTTAGGAATTCATCCGTGATATACCGTTATTTATTAATATCGACCCAAACCCGTCATCCCATATAAATCCGTCTATATTATCTCGTTAGCTAAATTATTAGTATTATAAAATCCAAGAAACTAAATTATTATTGTTATAAAATCTAATAATTTTAGGACCTCACCCGTAGTATACCGTTCTTTGAACGATTTTAAATTTATACTACTAATATATATTTTAAATTTATCATATAAAGTATATGATTTCAAGTTTTTGTGTTTTTTTTTTTTAATTTAAATAAAGCAACGGCTTAAATGATGATAGATATAGTTCTTTTTCTTGTATGTGTATTTGATTTTTCTATGTGAATATTTTGATTATTATAAATTAGTATTTTTATTGCTATGCAAAATGTTAATATAAATATTTGCTATAAATGTTTTTGAAGATATATGGAAAGATTGTGTAGAGATTTTTAGAAACAAATTAGGCAAGATATTGTTTGGTTAAAATCTTTTATTTAAATTTTGTAAAAGTAATAATAAATGCCAATGGCATTCTTTGTAAATACTGTCGAACCCCAGGATTTATTTGCTAAAAGTGTTCCAAAAATGTATATATACATTAGATATAGATCATAAGAGTAAAAAATTTAATAAATATAATGTAATGCCATTTATCTAAATACTTAAATTTATAATTACACTTTAACTGACCATAATAATAGATATAAATTTTCTCAATGTATGTATAGAAATCTTATTGGTGAGTTGAAAAATAGAGAAACAATTAAAAATAGAACTTTAAAAAAAATAGAACACTTTTATGTAGAACTAATGGTGTTGGTGAACCTAACTTGAACACCATATGAAATCACAAACCTAACTTGAACACCAAATGAGAAAACTTTTGTAGATATTTTTACTATGTGGACGATAGCCTGAAATAAAGAGAAAGCAACTAAAAGTCAATAAAAATAAAAGAATGGACTGGAAAAAGGAAAAACTCTACAATAGTTTTTTTAGCTTCACATGTGGGTAATATATAGAAGTAGATTAATTGGAGTCAATATTTAGAGTATTAATTTACACTCTAAAATTAATTAGATTTAATGTTTTGAATTAATTGGAGTTATTGTGGTTATCTGTTAGCCTAATGCATCAATTTAGAGTTACTGGAGAAGAAAACTCGTCGCAAATATTTGTTTTGAGAGAAGGCGTAACACATGGAGCAATACATTAATATAATACACGTTACTATATTTCTTTATTAAAATTACATTAACTGTTACATAAGTTAGAATTTCATTTACTGAGACATTTATAAAACAATATATACAGTAAAACCAATTAAATGTAAAAATAGATGCCAAATGTACTAATTTTATGAGAAGTTTTAAAAATGTACTAATATTTTGTGAAGTTAAAATTTTACTGATCCATAATTTTGAATCAGATGAATAAGTGGTGATTAAGTAGATAATAATTTTGGCAAAACAAATTAGATACAAATTTCAATTTAAATACATGTCAAATGTATCAATAGGATAAGAGAAATATCTTTTTTGGAATTAAATTGTAGGTACAAACTTTCAAAACTAAGGATTTTAAATAAATTAAAACAAACATTAATGAAATGAAAGAGAACACATGTCACCAAAAGAGAGTGCCAAATGTCGCAATGGTAGGAAAAGTTAGAAGTGAAATGAAAGAGAACACATGTCACCAAAAGAGAGTGCCAAATGTCGCAATGGTAGGAAAAGTTAGAAGAAAACCTTCTCATATTATATAAGATATATAGTTTCTGTTACAAAAATTAGCATAATTAGTACAAAAGAATGGAAAGATACTACATGTGATGTCACTACTCAATATGTTGCTTAGTAAAAAAAATCGATTTTTTTTTCTATATATACACAGGAACGCAACGGTTCGTTGCAATTCCTAAGTTTGCTCACTTACTCATAGTCGAATAGTCGATCGTAAGTAAGATAAAAAAAAAAAAGGCGTATACCTTTTCATCACTACCAATCTATCTCTATCCTTTCTCTTTGAATATATCTTATGTTTTAACCAAACTTAAGAAAATCGATCAACTCAAGAGAGGGAGAGTCTGAATCATGGTTAGGTATCTAATCCCTTGAAATGAACCCTTCCAATCTTAGGAGTGTTAAAATGTAATGTTATTAAGGGATGACAATGGGAGTGTAAAACTGTATGGTTTATATAAAGCAAATCCTAAGCTTTCGTTGACTTTGGAAGCTGAATCCCTTACATGGGCTATGGCATGTAAGATGTAACATGTTTGGAAAAGCTAGGGTGGAAGAGGTTCTACTAGTTAATTTTTTTGCGCATGAATAAAATGATAATACTAAATGTTCAACTGCTTAATTATTCTTAAGAAAGCTACAAAATATCCATTCCACAACGTTTATAGATCGGTAAAATACATGTGTAATTGCATTCCACGGGTTACCACAATTAGAGCTAATAAATTTATCACATCTATACTCAAACGATATTTGGTGACTTTCAATTACTTCAATTTAGAAGAACATGACTGCAATGTTAATGAGTGTATGTCAACAATAGTGATGTAAAGTAAAGAAGAAACTGGTACATAACCTCAATAAAATATCATATTATATTTATCTGTTTTTTTGTATTTCAACCGTAAAACAGAATTCTAGTGACTTGTCTCTCTGGTAAATCTTCTGTCCAAGCAAAAAGGCTGCAATTTCTAAGTAGTAATCAAAAACAAAACAAAATTATTCACACGACGACACCGTTTTAGACAGAAACAAACAGCCGTTGAGTCGTTTACTTCTTCTTCACACGACACCGTTTTAAACAAAAACGAAAAAACAACATGACGTTCTTGTCTGAAACACTCAAACGACGCGATTGGTAACTGCAGAGAAGGCCTTATCTTCCTCCAATTCTCAAAAACCTCTAAACACTCTTCGTTTAAGCTTTAAATCAATGGCTTCCACTTCCACATTTCTTCTTCTTCAATCTCTCACTTCTACGAATCTTCACATCACAGTCCCTATAAGAACCTATAGCTTCGGTCGTAGAACAACAAAATTCTCAACGAAATGTTCATCAAAACCAGAGCCAAAGGATCAATTCCTCGACCTCACACCAGCCCCTGAATCAATCAACACAACAAGCGCAGAGAAATTCCCAATAGAGAAACGAAGAAGATCAGAGATCATACGAGACAGAACACAAAGAGGAATCGAGAAACCAGAGCCACCAAATTTCGAAATCGGTTGGAAAAGAACAAAAGAGATAAACTTGGAGAAACCTAAAGGTTATGTAATAATGGATTTCTTAGAAAAGTTCGAAGCTTTAATGGCGAGAGAGTTTGGATCAAAGGAGCTTTTAGCTAAAGCTGGTGAGATAGTTGCTGAGAGAGCTAGAGAAGAAGCTGAGGTTTTGAGAGATGAAGGTAAAGTTGAAGAAAGAATGGTCACTGAGCTTTCTAGGGTTTTGAAATTGATGGAGATGGATTTAGCTATGGTTAAAGCTTCTGTGAAAGAAGAAACTTTGAGTCAGAGGATTGAACAAGCTAGAGCTAGGTGTCGACAAGCTATTCTTGTTGCTAATTCTTTCTAATTCCTTCTTCTTCTACTTGCAAATTGAGTCAAAAGTCTATGAATTTGTTTATAGTTTTACACAAAACAGAGCTTCTTCAATTGTAAAAGATCTTATTTTTTTGGTTCTGTAATCAAAACAAAGATTCATGCTTTTGGTTTTGCAAATTGTGATAAGGGTTTTTGGGAGGATAGTATTTTAATTAATTGAGAAAATTTACTTCCACTAATTTCATTTTTGAAGATATTTCACAAGTCTCATGCTTTATTGTACACCACACAATAAAAAATTAAAAATGAAAACTTTTGATCATTTTAACAAAAGCTTCACAAGCAGCACTAGACAGCAACAATGGTGGCACTTAGATTCTACACTGTAGAGATGTCGCTACCATGTTTATGTCCATGCCCATCATCGCCGATTTCTCTTTCATTGTGTTCTCCGAGATACAATCTTCTTAACACAACGAGCAAGAGACTAGATTTGTCTAGAAACTGTAGAACTCTGCGAATTAGTTGTTCATCTTCCTCTACAGTCACTGGCCAAACACAACAATCGTCTTTCAACGATGCTGAGTTGAAATTGATTGACGCTTTAATCGGAATTCAAGGCCGTGGCAAATCCGCTTCTCCTGGACAGCTCAATGTATGTAAAAACTTTTACTTTCTTTGATTTTCCGTCATGTTTCTTGGTTTATGTCTGATTGGAGACATTTTCTGTTGTAGGATGTGGAATCTGCTGTTAAAGTTCTTGAAGGTTTAGAGGGAATTCAAAATCCTGTATGAAATGTTTTCTTTTATCTTCAAATTATAAAATTCTCTTGTGTTTAGTTCTTTGCTCATTTTGATTTGTTTTATTTTGGGGTATATTTCAAAATGTTTTAGACAGATTCTGACTTAATAGAAGGCCGTTGGCGATTGATGTTCACGACAAGACCTGGAACTGCATCTCCAATTCAGGTCAGTTCTTCTTCACACATTCATCATCATATCTCCATTTTATAGATGATTGTAATTTGTATGTAAGAAGAAGGAAGAACAATGGAATGATTTGTCTCTGCAGAGAACATTTACAGGAGTTGATGTGTTCACTGTGTTTCAAGATGTATACTTGAAGACAACAAACGATCCTCGTGTTTCAAACATTGTTAAATTCTCTGACTTCATTGGAGAGCTGAAAGTTGAGGTAAGCTTCTTCAATCTAAGTCTTTACATCTAAAGACTGAGACATTCATGCTTCATTAACAGGCAGCTGCGTCGATCAAAGATGGGAAACGGGTTTTATTCCGTTTCGATAGAGCTGCTTTCTCTTTAAAGTTCCTTCCTTTCAAAGTTCCATATCCAGTTCCTTTTAGGCTTCTTGGTGATGAGGCAAAAGGTTGGTTAGATACTACGTATTTGTCGCCTTCAGGAAACCTTAGGATTTCAAGGGGAAACAAGGTAAATGAGTTTCTTGATTCTGGAAATGAAATTTTTTAGCTTTATAGCAGTTTTATCCATAAGGCGATATATTTGTAGCGCAGGGAACAACGTTTGTTCTTCAGAAAGAAACCGTGCCTAGGCAGAAATTGTTAGCCACCATATCTCAAGACAAAGGAGTAGCTGAGGTAATGTGTAATGCCTTCAAGAAACCTGAAAACAAATGATATTTCAGTTTGAAATGAAATCAATGGATCGCTTAGTATAACCACAGGCTATCGATGACTTTCTTGCGACTAATTCTAATCCCGCGGAAGATGATTACGAGCTTTTAGAAGGAAGCTGGCAAATGATTTGGAGTTCACAGGTCATTTCTCCTATCACTTTAGTTTTTGTATTGAAGAAGAAATTTATTCGTTTGGATAAGCGATTTTTCGGGTTTTGTGTTTGTAGATGTTTACAGATAGTTGGATTGAAAATGCAGCTAATGGTCTTATGGGAAGACAGGTAAACACTTTACTATAATGTCTTAAGTAGTATAATGTTGCTTCAACTTGTTTCATTAAGCGAAATTGAAGATTTGTTTCAGATCATCGAGAAGGATGGAAGAATAAAGTTTGAAGTTAACATCATCCCAGCATTTAGATTCTCCATGAAAGGCAAATTCATGTAATTCTCTTTGTCTTTTAGATAGTCATTTTGCTAACTTTTTGTGATCTTGTTTCTTGATTGGTTTCATGAATGATCTGCAGAAAATCAGAAAGCAGTACCTATAATTTGAAGATGGACGACGCAGCAATTATAGGCGGTGCATTTGGATATCCGGTCGATATAACAAACAACATTGAACTTAAAATTCTGTAAGATCTCTCTATCTTCTTCTTCTACTATATACAACAGATGATGATGCCTTGATGTTTATACTAATACAGAGAGATGTGTTTGTAGGTACACAGATGAGAAGTTGAGGATAAGTCGAGGATTCGACAACATTATCTTCGTGCACATCCGAGAAATTTAGCTGCATTGTTCTATGCTCTTATTTGAACATATGAAAAAATAGTATGTAAGAAACTGTCAAATGTTTTACAACAATGGAAAGTGATGGTTTAAATTTCTCTGTTCATCATTAGTTTTTTTGGATGTAACAGGAACCAGAAAAAACAAGAAACCACATGAGAATGATGATATAATTTTCGCTACTAATGTCTAAATTTAGACAAAATTAACATTAAGAAAAGTTTACTTTTTGTCTTAATCATAAAAAAATTCACTGAATATTTCTTTCTACAGAGAAAATACGAATATCTCACTAACAAAGGGAACTTACCACTAACAGCTTCTGGTGACATAATTACTCTGTATATTCCCATTTTTTCACCGAGAGAAAACTAGAAAAAAACAACAAAAAATGGAAACTGTAACATTCTAAAAGATTCATTGTTAACAAAAACAACAGAGAAACATAATACTGATTTTCCAGGATTTACTCCCTTAAATCTCTCCTTCAAATACTCTTCCTAATTTCTTCTGTTTTTATTTTGCTTGTTTCCTGCGAAGATCTCTCTCTCTTCCTCTGTCTCTTGTTTTTTTTGTCTTTCTCTTGATTTTTGTTTTTTGTTTATGGATATGGACAAGATGAGCTATGAAGCCAAGACAACGACAGAGACTTCAGGCTCAAGTGACTCTGTCTTGCACCTCACGAAACGCATGAAACCTACTGGGCTTACGGCGACGACCATAAAACCTGCCTTGTCCAACACGACGACGAAATACAAAGGAGTGGTTCAGCAGCAGAACGGTCATTGGGGTGCTCAGATTTACGCAGACCATCGAAGGATTTGGCTCGGAACTTTCAAATCCGCGCCTGAAGCCGCAGCGGCTTACGATAGCGCATCAATTAAGCTTCGTAGCTTTGACGCTAACTCGCACAGGAACTTCCCTTGGTCTGATTTTACGGTCCATGAACCGGACTTTCAAGAGTGCTATTCAACAGAAGCTGTGTTGAACATGATCAGAGACGGTTCTTATCAACACAAGTTCAGAGATTTTCTCAGAATCAGGTCTCAGATTGTCGCTAACATCAACATAGTGGGAACAAAACAAGTACGAGGAGGAGGAGGAGGAGGAGGTGATCAAGAATCGAGCAAGTGTTTCTCGTGCACGCAGCTTTTTCAGAAGGAACTGACACCGAGCGATGTAGGGAAACTGAATAGGCTTGTGATACCTAAGAAGTATGCAGTGAAGTATATGCCTTTCATAAGCGATGATCAAAGCGAGAAAGAAACGAGTGAAGGAGTAGAAGATGTGGAGGTTGTGTTTTATGACAGAGCAATGAGACAATGGAAGTTTAGGTATTGTTACTGGAGAAGTAGCCAGAGCTTTGTCTTCACTAGAGGATGGAATGGTTTCGTGAAGGAGAAGAATCTCAAGGAGAAAGATATTATTGTCTTTTACACTTGCGATGTCCCCAGCAATGTGAAGACATTAGAAGGCCAAAGCAAGAACTTCTTGATGATTGATGTTCATTACTTTTCAGGTAACGGTTTCGTGGTTCCCGAGGAAGTAAACAAGACGGTTCACGAGAGTTCTGATGAAGAAATGAAAACAGAAACCCTCTTTAGCTCGAAGTTAGAAGAAGAAACCAAATCAGAGGAGAAGAAAGGAGGGTTTATGTTGTTTGGTGTTAGGATCCAATAGCTACTTGGATCTTAGGGATTTTTATTATAACCTAATTAGAGTTTGTTTTCTATTTTATTTTTGCTTTTGTATTACATAGTTTCTTGATTTACAAACTCAATGCTTTGATTTTGATATCCAACATTAATTAGATAAAATGTCTCTCTTGAGTAGATTAAAAAGAAGAAGAAAAGCCAAAGAGGCTTTAATGGCTTCTTTTAAGAGTTAAGACAAAGCCACTTAACTGCTAAAACCTACCATGAACAAAACAATCCTAGTGAAGACATTAAGCTAATGTCACAAAATGAAACAGATACAAGAGTTTCAACTCACTACTCTCTCTATACACTCCTTCAGACTAAGTGAGTTTCCGCTTACATCTCCTTCGAGTTTCATCACCCTTGGTGTCAGGAGTATCTTCTACAACAGTTTCTTCTTCTACAACAGTTTCTTCTTGTACAACCAAACCTCGGTTTCTCGACAGTTTTCTTATCGGTGTTGTCTGAGTATCTTGTGTGAAATCTGCTGATGCAGCGGGACAAGAAGATGAAGCGACTGCAGTTTCTCTGTGTGGCATTAACTCCTGGCCCAGTGGCACCATTTCAGACATCAACTGTTTGACATATAATCACACAAAAAAGTCAGACATTTTCAGGACATAATTTAACAATCGAGATGAGATTCTATTTTATTTACCTTCCAATCTTTGAAATCTAATCTAAACACAAAATGGTTATAAATGACTTCACCCGACATCACCAGAATTGCATCAGGTCCATTTCTTGGCACTGAGGACACATTAGGAGATCAAATATAAGTGAAACGAATTAAATATCAAAACCAGACACAAGAGAATGGACTTGTGATCTTACAGGCGAAATGAGAACCACTTTTATCGACAATGATCTCAACTCGTCCATCTTTGGCCAAGAAAGATAGCGCAAACAGATTCTCTACAGTCTGTGCAAATGACCGCCTATTGAGCACCAAATTCTCAAGCCGCACGCGCCTCTTTTTCCCCAAGATGGTAAACATTATTGCCATATTCTTGTCTGTATCCGTTTTCTCTTCTGATTGTGAATCATCTACCTGGTAATTATGATAAGTACTCAAATCAGCTTGTTTGTTTCTTATTCACATCCTAACTACATAACAATCAACAAGTTCAAGACAAAGCATCACACATATCTCACAGTGGAAACATTGCAAATCAATCAACAGACGAGAGCTTTCAATTTCACTAAGTTTTTTGTACAATTAAACAGTGCACACAGCATATACAACATTGGATACCATGCAAATGACTCTTAAACACCACTGATCGATCAGGCTGAGATAAGAAAAGCACTCAATGAATCTAGGCAAGGAGTTAAAATGTGCAGTCTCAAAGGAGAATAGGACTACAGGTACGACATAAGTGGAATCAATTTGATATTGCTAATAAACTCAAACAAAATGGGGTCTGCAAAACATTTCTTACCTCATCTGGACGAACACCTTCACCAGGCTTTGTACGTTTTCTGTTAGGTGCCCTTTTCCTTTGCTTCAGTTCAGTATCCATAGGTCCCAACCTGGTTGCAAAACAAGCAAACAAACCTTTGTTTAGACAGAATATACTCAATTGTAGCAAAGCAAGTGAATATAAAGTAATTATAATGATAACTCACATTGTGGAACAACCACATGATACTAAAACAGTAGAACAGACAGCAAACCCAAGATCCTTCCACTTTAAAGATACTTGGGCAGTTTCATCAGCATCAATTCCCAAAGAACCTTGACCAAACCCACTGACCAAAGCATTAACAAACTCAGCCGGTGAAACCCCATGAGCAGACTGAGACTTCACCGATGACATTACGGTGTTTGCTATATCCAGAAGTGCCTCTGCGTCTGCAATTTGTTCCCTAGGCTTCCGAACTACAAGAAAATAGTAACCAAACAAAAAAAAAGGAAGTCTTTTGATCAGCAAGACAAAATTGGCCTTTCCATCACTAATACAATCCAACTTAAGAAAAGGGCTGCATTTTCGCTATTTCCGCAAAATGCGACAAAATCTACTGTAGAAGGAGGTTCTATTGCAATATTTTTTTGACACAGAAGACATCAATTTCACAATGTTAAAGCAAGAAATTTACCCTGTTTGTGCAAGTTTTCAACTTCATTAATAATTCTGGAGAATTTGTCAGAATCAATCTTCATCAAATCATCTTTAGAATCTGAAAACAAAAAAGAAACCCTAAAATTAAAAAGAATCAATGGACATACATAATAAAGAGTAAGTAAGCGACTGAAATGGTACCGTTGATTTCGTTTTGAAGAGAGAGATACTTAGATCTGAGAATTCTCCGATCAGAAATTCCTTGTTCTTCTTCATGAGTCGGAGGAGGCTCATCGGGTCGTACGAATTCAGCTCCGGTTTTTCTCTGTTTCTCCTTCTTCACAGACCTCAACCGCTCCGGCTCTTCGTCTGCTTCTCTTTTGCCACCGCTGCCGCCGGGGGCTTCTGATTCTCGCTTCACCGTCTTCCTCATGATGGTTCCAGAATTATCGAACAAGGAGAGATGTAGAAGAAGCGAAACGAAGAAGAAGGAGAAGTGGAAGAAATTAAAAACCCTAACGGCAGATTGAATTTGGGGATTTTTTGATATTTTTGAGGGAAAAAAGGATGAAAGAGAAAATTCGATGATTTTTCCCGCCGAGCCCATAAAATAAACAATTAACAACCAATTCCAATTAACTCGTGCTCGCGAAGCTTGGGCTTTTCTTTTTATGTAAACATTTTTTTATTTGAACTTTTCAAAATTTTTACAAAATAATTTTAGGCGAATAAACAAAGAAATTAGAAAATATCCGAAAATTTCAGGAGTTACATGGATTTTTTCAGAAATTTATTGTATTACCCCCTGTTCTAAAAATCGGCCGCCTAGCCGCCTAGGCGCTGATCGGGTGGGGACCGCGGCGATTTTGTCCAAATCGGTAAAAAAAATCGGTGATCCGATTTTTGTCCGCCTAGACCGCCTAGGCGTCCGCCTAGCCCGCCTAGACGGCGCCTAGCCCAATTTTTTTTTTTTTTTTTTTTTTTTTTTTTGGATCTAAAATTCAAAACGTCCCACTTATGTTCATAATTTATATAAAAATCATAAGTTTGACCTTAAATTCTTGTTTTCATGTGTTTAATACAATTTTAAAAACAAGATTATATAAATTTCTTATTTATAATGGATTAATATATTTTTAAAATATTAAATAGCCTTAAAACTAGTCCCCGATTAATCCCCGTTTAATCTCCGATTTTCTTGCTAGGCGCTAGGCCCACCCTCACCGCCCGACTAGCGCCTAGCGATTTTTTAAACAAGGGTATTACCCATACACAAATTAATGGAAAGATTTCAGATGTTAAAAGAAAAAAACAAAAACGAAAATGGAAAAGAGATGAAGAAATCACATCAAAGATCCAATTGGTGAAAGAGGAATATGGGTTTTAAGCCCAAATTAAAATCAAAGCCCAAGAGAGAAAAATAAAAACAAATGAAAAGAACCCCCCTAGGTTGCCTGAGGTTTCCTCCTCCTCCTCCGCCTGTAAGAACCTCCTCATCCACATCGACGATCATTTAGTGTAAAAGATTGTTCTAAGGAGATAAATCGATTGCTGAGGATTGGAAAAGCCTAAGGAGTAACGATTTGATGCGATCATTTCATGAGGTACACTCACTGTAATTTATTTTTTGTCATTTGTGATTTTAGTTTGACGAGATTTTTAGGTTTTGATTATTAATAAGATAACAATACTTAGGAATATCGATAGAGAGAATTTGTAGTGTGCTAAAATTTCCATTTCCTTAAACCGACTTTGACGTTTTCCTTTTTTTTTTTTTTGCGATTCCTAGCTCAGCTCGTGTGTATACATATGAAGCCTCAATTGTCTGTTGATCAGTTGGAAACAAGACAATGTTGTTGAAAAGACACCGCTCCTGTGAAAACGAAACAGTAAAAAGACATCGTCGCTCCAGTGAGGAATTGCTTCCACACGATGTTGTAGTGCTAATCCTCGAGAGGCTTCCTGTGAAATCTCTGCTAAGATTCAAGTCTGTATCAAAAAAATGGAAAACGACAATCGAGTCCCGGTGTTTCCAAGAACAGCAGTTTCTCCGTCGTAGGCAATCACGGGGTCCAGATGTCCTTTGCGTGTCCATTGGTGATGATGATAATAATAATAATGGTTACGATGAAGCTCCAATGAATACAGTATCGTTGGGGTCTTCCATAGTTTCTAGGGTCAGGCTCCCTACTTCGAACTACATTCTCTGCCCTGGTAGTTGTGACGGTCTGCTATGCGTTTACTGTGTTTTCACACCTAGTGTCGTGGTGAATCCCGCCACTAGATGGCATCAAAGTTTTCCTCTTTGCAACTTGCAGCAGTTCCGCAACGACATGTACGATAAAGGTGAGTATGACTACCCGAGTCCTAAGCTTGGATTTGGCAAAGATAAATTTACAAGTACGTACAAACCGGTTTGGTTGTATAATTCAACCGAATTTGGACTAGAAAACGTTACCACTTGTGAAGTTTTCGATTTTAGCACAAACGCTTGGAGGTACGTTCTCCCTGCTTCTCCCTATCGGATAAATGATGTCAATTTTCCCGTGTATTTTGATGGGTCTCTTTATTGGCTCACCCTTTGCGAAGAGACCAAGCTGTTATCTTTCGATCTGCACACTGAAACTTTTCAAGTCATCTGTAAAGCTCCCTTTACCCCCGCAAGTGACATTTTCAGCCATAGCAACCGCATCATGTGCATCCTCGACAACCGCTTGTGCGTATCCGAGAACAATGGTGCAACCCAAGTGATATGGTCGTTGGATTCTTCAGGCCTCAACAAGACATGGAAGATATTGTGTTCGATAGATTTCACAAAAACTGTTTCTTGGTTTGGGGACAAACCCTTGTTCCCTGTGAAACCTATAGAAATTCTGGACGACCATAAGTTATTGGTTGGAGAACATGGTTACTTGGTGATGCATGATCTCCATGCCAAATCTTATGATTTACTCGTTGATCGTGAAACCACCCTTGGATATCATGTGTCTTATTTCCAAAGTTTATTCTCTGTTTTACCAAATTCAATTATTTGTACTGATGAACCGTTGTAACAATGTAACATTTTCTGTATTTTAATTTAAGGTCTACACATTGTTATTATTAGGCCTGGGCATAAAATCCGAAATCCGAAAACCGATCCGAAAAATCCGGCTCCGAATCCGAACCGAATAGTCACAAAACCCGAACGGATAATGAATTCTCCTATCCGAATTATCCGAACCGAACCCGATCCGAACCGAAAACCGAAAGGATATCCGAAAACCGAAAATAAAATTATATATTCAAAAATATTAGTTATATTTAGCTATAATTTTATAACAAATAACAAAAATATCCTAAATAACCTAGATATCGGAAAGTTTTTAGTTATATTTGTTAAAATTATACATATTTTTGGAAAACTTAGCCAAATTTTAGTAAGATTAAAACTATTTTTTATTTAAAATTGAACATTTTTTTAGTTTTTTTTCCTCGCAAACCGATCCAAAATTAATCCGAAACCGATCCGAATCCGACACTATCCGAACCGAACCCGATCCGAATAGTCATAAAATCCGAACGGATAATAAAATCTCCTACCCGAATTATCCGAATCCGAATAAATCCGAACCGAATCCGATCCGAAATCCGAATGTCCAGGCCTAGTTATTATTATGTGGAACTTGATCGATAAATAGAGTTGTTTCTATGAACTGTATCGTTGTGTGCTATATTTGACATTACGTTATCTTTGTTATACTAACGTAGTGGTGCTGGAGCTCACTTGTTTAGATCCTGGTCAACATTTATCAACCACTCTATTATCCTCACTCCCGAGGTACTTAGCGTGCTCTGTTATCCTCACTCCCGAGTTACTTAGCTTGCTTGCTGTTGAGGAGTTTCATTTATCTTGTTGTATATTCTGTAGCGAAGGCCCAATGTTTCTTCTGACTTTCAGAATTTTCATTGGACATTTTTAGGGGTGGTTGCGAGTAACTAAATGGTCTATGTGCCTATTTATGGAATCATTGACATTGAGCTAGGTTCTTAGAGTTTGTTTTACAGAAACATGAATGCTTCAATGATTGTGGATGCAGGCTGACCGGACTGAAAAGAAAGACACAACTGCCTTCAACATAATCATACCAGGAAACGTCGATGATGCTTTGACAAAAAATGGACAACCTGATGTTCAGCCTTTGCCTCTGTCAAAGAGGAAGTATTTAGCAAATTATTTAGGTCGTGCGCAAGGGAAGGCTGGTCAACTTAAATTGATTGACCTATCAAAGCAATATCCAGATAAGGTTATTATTTCTTCAAAGACTCCTCGTATACTTCTTCATACACCATCGACGATCTGTTTAAGCTTATGCATGTTCTTCGATGTTTTCTTTTCCTTGCTTGCTTCTAATGAGTGGTTTTGTGAACACTTAGAATGTCCAGACTTGAAGTTTAGCGGAACCGAAAAGTTTGGAAGGACAACGTATTTTGAACATCTGAGGAACGCCAAGTTCTGCCTCGCTCCTCCTGGGGAATCATCTTGTATATTCAAACATCCATGGTTAATCTGATTAACCTAATCACAATCATCAATTTTGGTAAGTATATTATTATCAATTTTTATTTTTGTCGCCGATATGTGTCATAGGTTTTTGTAAAAAATGTACTTACAATATTGTTATTTAGACGTAACATCTTTAACAAAATCTTAAATCTGTAACATTTCATATAAAGTTATATAAACAGTATAAATTCATAACTAAATCAATTTAGTTTATTTGGATTAAAAAGGAATCGTAAAGTTATGTAGTAGTGTGAAAAAGATAGAATTTGATAATGGACATGTTCGAGCATTTTAGAAGGACACAACAACATTAATATGCGCATTATTGTTTTAGGAATCATATCGTAATACCTTTTTACCTAACAAACCTTTTTGGTATTTAGCTGATGATTAACACTTGTAACCTTAAGAAGAAATTTTTACAATATCTTTGTCACGTGTCATCCCCACAACTTAGTGCACCTTCACATGACTGCCTAAAAGAGCAAAGAAAGAAACAAAAAAAGACATGGTCCCCAACAATAATTAATGTTGGCAAGATTTTGCCCATCTTTTTTCGTTTGGACAAGACTTATGGACTGTGATATATATGCTTCGTCAGGTCAGTTCAAAACAAAAATTAAAAGAAATATTATAGATTTTGTTTTGTTCAGAAAATTAGATATGTTAAAATGTAGTAGATAATAATATGTAAACATTTTTAATAATAATAAATTAGATACTAAAATATAGTAGATAAGATTTGTTGATTTTATACGGGAATATGTGTAAATTCACGTATGAAGTAAACTGTTTTGATGCTTAGCAAGTAAAAGTCTCAAATGTTGTTTTTTTTTTTTGGATTTCAGCTGTATAACAAAGAAGAATGAGTAAGAAAGAGTTTCTATTGCTACCACATCTTCCACAAATCTTGGAGACTGGTCTAAACTTCAATTATGAAGAAAACATTTCTACAAAAAGTTTAATACAACAAACTCTTGAATCATATCATGTTTCGAACACCTCGTTGTCTCTCTATATATATGCGAGTAACTTATCATAGTTATAGTTGATCATTTTACCATTATGGTTATAATAATCTGTTCAAGATTTATGAAATTGTCTATGATATTTTGGTAAAGAACTAAAGATTACAACAAAAGAAAATAAACTAATTACCCTGAATTATTCTTGAGTTACAACAATAAAAGAAGCTTCTCATTGTACATCACTTCTGTTCTGTTCTGCTTTTCATTTTTTCATACAATAATAGCTTTGGAGTTCGGACCATTACACAAACTTACTTTCTTCCCTACCAAAAAAGGTTCCAACTTTACAAAACCCTTTTCACCATCATCCACCAAATTTTAGCTCTGTTCATGATCTCTTCTCTACTTGGCTATCTTCGATTTTTCTCCAAAGGCCGAAAAACCGATACTTCTATGCACAAAATCCCTCCCTGGCTAGCACTCGCGCATACTCCAACTTCTAGTTTCACGCACTAGAGCATCTACATCTTGCCCGAGTCTCTTCGAGCGTCTGACCAAAAATCCAAATTTTCGGTTTCTTATAAAGTGAACAAAGGGATTCAGGAGATATTAGTGTGAAATGCAAGCGAAAACATTACCTTCACTTGTTCTTGTAGGTCCTTGATGTACTGAACCGCAAGATCCAACATGTCTGCTGTGTTTGTTTGCTGCATATCAATTGAAGATGATAAATACATTGAGCAAAGAACATGAAAGTATGAATATGAGAGAGGAAGATCGAATAATCTAACCGTGTCCATGTTTGGAACAAGGTCTTGCAGCTTCCTCATTCTTTCACTGATCTTGGTTCTTCTCACCTGCTCCACAACATTTTCGAAATATATATAATCTCTGGAGAAACTAATATATTACCATGGAATTAATGTCACTGACTATAATAGTAAGGGAAAAGGTTTACCCTCTCGGCGATGCTGCGAGGATGAGTTGCACAACCCCGCTTGGCTCTGATCTTACAGGGGATAGAATCTGACAGTAACTGTTCAATATCTGATAAAGACTTGGGCAAACTCATGTGATGCGCCAAAGGAGGACGTCTACTCGCTGAATCTTCATCCTGTTAAATTAGATTTCATTAGTACAAACAATCAAACAAGAACAGCAGCAGAATGAATTCAACCGCAAGAAATTGGTTTCAATGGCAAAACATCTCTCAATATAAGTTCATATACCTTGGTTTTGTATTGATCTAGACCTCCAGATTGAGTCCTTGCAATAGCAGTAAGCTTAGAAGAAGCAGACCCTTCATTCCCAAACGAACGATTAAACCCACCGGAAAGTGTCCGAGGAGGCAATCTAGACGAAAAGCCAGGCTTAACATCAACCTCAGAGATCGGACTCATCGCTCTAGAAGTAGGAGGAAGTAACTTGCTTCTAGGAGTAAGAGACGAAGCTTCAGTATTACTCGTACTCATCACATTACCTCCTCCAAAACCTCCCATACTTTTCATTACAGCTGCATAAGCTACAAATTTTCCAAGGAAAAAAAACAGAAGAAAAGATTCATATATATACAAAAAGACTTCACTTTTCAATACTTTTTCTTCACCAAATTTAGTGATTAACTAGTACTAGTTGCAGATAATATCTGTAATTAATAGCTAATCAATAGAATCCAATCTACATAGACCAAAACAAGCAAGTTGCTTTAAATCATTATAGTCCTATCAAAATCGTAAGCATATTCTCAAAAAGTTACCAGAAAAAGTTTCCAGATTAGGAAATAATTTCAAAATTTAACTTCTAAAACTAGAAAGAAAAGACTCAAACCTGTTTCAACATCAATGGAGGAAAATAATCCGGCCGGTGAACTATTATGACGAGCTAGATTATTCACCGGAGTCCGATCATCTTTCTCTCTTGGTCTCTTATTCTGACCTAAACTCCTCGAAACCGAAGCTACATACCCAATCGATTCTTCAGGATTCACTGTAACCTCACCGGAAACAACCTCCATCGCCGTCGCCGGAATCTCTGTATCTTCCTCCTCTGTTTTCACTTCCGGAGGTTTCTTCTCTGTTCCATCACTGTTAAAAGTATGGTGAAGGAAACTATCAACGTTATTGCTTGTGTCGGTGGTTTGTAAAAACCCAGATAAGATTCGCTCTGTTTCAGGACTCGTGGGTCGATCTAAAAACTCTTCGATTGATTCACCGAAACTCGAAAAATACGAACTTGGTGCTGATTGGTAACGAATCAATCCTGAGTTTCTTGGTCTCTGGTGTTGATGATCGTGAAGAAGAAAGTGATGTTGCTGAAATTCTGATTCCATCTTAGTAGCTTTTGAGTTTCTCTCTTCTTTTGTTATTTTTTTCTCCGTTTAGAGTACCCACCGGAAGTTTCGTTCGCCGGGAGAGCCGGATTTTTCCGGCGAGAGATCTCTCTGAGATTTAAATTAATAAAATTAAAAAAGAGAACGTGAGAGAAACTTATGTGTGTGAGAGAAGAGAAGAAGAAACAACAGAGGGCAGGTAGAGATTGGGATTTATTTACGATTTGACTAAAATATCCTTTGTGGTCTCTTTTTATTACGAGTGGAACCCTTGATGCTGACACGTGTAGGCCACGTGGGGACCACGTTATTTTTTTTTATAATGTTATGTTACAGTAAAAATCATTTTTCTTTCTTTGAAAAATTATGTAAAAGAAAATAGTTTTTTTTTTTCCGATGTGATTATTCTTTTTTTGCAAATTTGGTATACTTCCAATCAGTGTAAGATTTAATAATGGCTATTAAATGATTTTTCTCGTTTTGCGAAATAAAAATCCAGCAGCTTTTTTTTATGTTTTTTGGACTTTATCTTCTTTTTAATTAAATTAATGAATTTTAAGAATCCGCAATTATTGACATGATTCAGAACTTTCAGATTAAAATAAAACGACGACTATATAATTGTGGGAATTAAAGCTGTTGACTTATAAAGCAATAAAACTGGCTGAGAAAAAGGACATATGTCGATATGACGTATATTGAAATGACGGACAACTTAAAAAGAGAAAAACAAATTATAATATTTATAATATTAAAATTAAAATCTTTATAAAAAAATAAACCAAAAATATAAAAAGAAGAATAAAATTAAATGAAAATAGTTGGAGGAATCAGACAGGTGTTGTAGATATGGCAATCTAGGGCTCCAAAATTTAGGGAACCTTTCAAGCGACTTAATCCAACTATTCACGCTTAAACACGTATGTACCCTTCGCATAAAATATAGGACACGTATTGTACTTACGTTTTTGTATAATACTGTATAAGATTACTTATTAAAATAACAAGTGTTATTAATCTACAAAATTCTAAAAATACATAACAACATCTACTACTAATACATATCCAAATTCAAATTTCATTATCCACTTCAATTGATATGTCGTATTTGCGTGTTTGATTTGGAAAAACACTAGAGTCGAATAGTCTTGAACTTTCTTGCTATTCAATGAAATACAAACTGGTTTTCGATTGGTTTATCAGACCGGTTTATTGTAATCTAGTATACCTGACTGGTTTAACCGGGACTAGAAGATATGTAATATTGTTCTGGTTTAGTTTATGTATTAAATTTTAAAAGTAAGCTTATTTTTTATCAGAAAAAATAAATTTTTGCGACAAAAACTATGATGTGGCTAGTGCATAAAAAGAAAAGTAATTGGAGAAAATGGAAATTTTTTTTACTTTTAATATTTATGAGTGTAATGTTTTTTTTTTGAAAAAGTACTTTTGACAACAAAAAATAAAAAGTATGAGTCCAGAAAATATCAGATGAAAAATATTTCTTCTCGATGTCCAACAGTGAAACTTTATCATCCACCCAAATCGCTGTTTAAAAGTCATTAAAAGAAAAAGATCATGATTTAACATTTTAAACGAAATAGCGTCAAAGATCAATAACTAAAAGTGTAAAAACAAATCATATTTAACGAAATCAGATGAATTTAAAAGTTTATGTAATGCAAAAATTGTTTGTGTAAAAAAAACAAAAAGAGGAACTTTCGAGTTTGGATAGACTGAGTTTTGATTGCAAAAGTTGGTGTAGTATATGGAGGCCTCCCATAAAAAATGTGACTAAGTGATTCATGGTTCAACAAACTAGAATGGATAATCTAATTAATATATGATTAAAAAATCTTTGTTTAGTTTAAAAATCATGCTCTTTATGCGAACAACAAAATAAATATAAAAAGTGGTAAAAGCCAGCAAAAAAAATATGTAATATAAAATGTTAAATTAATGAGTTTTTAAACATAAAACATGATGTAATCTGCTGTTAATCATTAATATCTTTATATATGTACTAAATAATCTTCTTCTTCTTTTTTGTTCATTTTAGGTTGAATTCTACTTTTTGATCAATAATATCATCGATTCTCGCCTTCTCAGTTAGCTTGAACCAACTCAAGTAAAATGATGTAGTGGTATTTGGGTCAGGATCTAGAGAAAGGGGATTGTATGATTGTATCTCACTGACTTTAACGTGCATGAATTCGATTTTTACTTGTACTTCTACATGTCGACCCAAATAATTAATAGGTAGATTTATTATTGGGAAGTTGACGAGATCAACCAAAGCGAGTCGAGATCGATGAAAAACTTGTATAGATTTTATGTTAAGGGGCATAGTCAGAGTTGGGCCATGGTTAAAAGTCTAGGAATCAAGAGATTTAGGCAGCAAATGAGTATGATTGTATGAGTAATTTTATGGGCATTATTTTAACTAAACGTTATTGTAGTGTAGTAGTCAGTGTCTTATTATTTTTACTCTAAGAGCAACAGCAATGGTAAGGATCTCCCAAGGATCCTTAAGAATTTTTTAATTGTAAATTTTGACAAATATAAAGTTAAAGATTTGCTAAGGGACTCTTAGAAATATTCATGTCCAATGGTAGGAATCCTTAAGGGATCCTTAAGAAGAAAAATTTGAAAATAAAATTTGGTGTTTGAGTTTTTGATTGCTTGAAAAGAAAGATAGAGAAGACAAACTATACAAGTTTTTGATACATTTTGAATAACAAAGATTCATGACAATAATATTACAAAGTATACAAGATTCATTTGAAAACACATCAAAGACAAAAACTATACAAGAAAGAACATCACAATATTTAAAAAATATATAGACAAGCAAGAAACTTACACGAATCAATACAGTGGTGCTTGGTAGACAAATTGTTCTGAACACAGAAAGACACTGATTTCCAAATGAATCTATATAGTTAGATTTATTCTCTTCCCATGGAGAGCTAGCAGATGCAACAAAAGCCATCAAATCAGCAACCTAATTATTAACCAGTAAGAAATAAATCAGTTAACACCTGTTACAAACTCTGCTCACTGAAAGAACCAACAAACGTAAACAATAATTCACATGCCTTGGCCATTTCCATGCATGTCAAAAGATCCCCATGAGGCGCCTTTAACACCTATAATAAATTCACAACATTGATCACACTAAGGATCCGACTTATCAACCAATCTAAGTTCCACCATATATCATAAGGGAATACACATACAGTTGCTTTAAGCTTATACTCAGAAGATGCAACTGTCGAAGAAGAAACGACTCCAGAACCATCAGAAGATAATAGCTTTAAGATATCTTGATTAAGTGAATTCAATTCCACAGACTTTAGTTAAGATGGCATTGTCAGAAAATTGGCTTATTTTATATTCATTGCCAGACTTTAGTTAAGAAGCTCTTCATCTTATTCTTCTCTCAAAATAAAACTTTCATTTTTTTGGTTTCAATAAAGAGATGAAAATAAGGCAATCAGAGAAAAGTACTGATTAACACGGACAAAAGGATGATTAAGATCATAATGGTTTAATTAGGGATTAAAGCAAGAATACCTCTCTAGGCATGAGTGTCTTGGGAATAACTCCGTGGCCAAATAACACCAAAGATAAGAAAAAAGAGAGACTTATTAAGATATGTGAGTAAGCAAGTATGACACTTAAATGGTGAATAGATGAAGAGTTACCCAATAACATGGCGACCACCATCATGAACAGCTTGTGAAACCAAACCCATCAAACCTATGCTTCCACCTCCATAGACTAGATCAATGTTCCTTAAAACCTGTAATAGTAAACGAAAAACAGAGTAAACCATCTTTCTCATTACAAATAGTTTCAGAAATAAGCTAAGAAGAGAAATCAAGCTAAGAGCACAAGCTAAGAAAAATTCTAAACTTTTTCCCCGAAAGAAAACAAAAACAGTAGCTTTGGATTTGTTAATGAAATCTCTCAATTGGGTTCGCTTCCTTAAAAAACATACAATAACAAATAAAACAGAGAGATTCGTACCGTGAGGAAGCGATTGGAGCCACTGGAATCGCATTTCTCTCCGATTTGATTTGCAGAACCCACTGATGTCGGCTCGACGAACTACTGTTGGTGACCACGCCGGCGGTGGAGATGAGCATCACGGCTTATTGTTTACAAAGGCTTCGCCTTTTACTTCCAATTTGATGATGTATATCGCCGGAATTGAAGCTCAAAGAGATTCGCCGTCGGAGAAAACAAAGAGAAGAGAGAGAGGGTCGAGAAAACTGAAACGCGAAAGAATTTTTTTTTTTTGTTTTTCTCACTTTTCTTCCCAATGAAATGACGCCACGTAGCGCCTCTTACAGCAACAAAAAAACCTTAAATTAGAAACGGACCTTGGCTTTTATTTATGTTTGGATTTATATTTGGGCCTTTTATTACAAGAAACTATGGGTAGAACCCTTAAGGTACTCCCATTGCTGTTGCTCTAAGAGACGGTTCAATTCTAACTCATGTTATTATTTTTAATTTTTTTAATAGTTTTTTTGTTAATAGACCAAAAAAGAAAAATTCTTTAGGTAGCAAAATAGTTTGATTCGGCCTTGGACATTATTTATACTTCAAAGTTAAAATTAGCAAACGCTTGTAATCTATCTATAATTCAAGTTTTTAAATATTGGTGATCGGATATCAGTAATATCCTCAAGAAAAAACAAATTATGATTTCTTTCACAAACTAATTAATGAATTCAGCAATGAATTTAGCAACTTTTCTATTTGAAGATGTGGGTTGTTTAACATAGAATAGTAACTGCAGAGCAAAAGCTAAATATAAATTCTAACCGTTTTCTATAAAAAAATTTGTAAGAAAATATTTTGGTGTCAAGAAAGTACTCGTTACTTTGGAACAAAGAAAACAATATCCATAAATATAAGATAAGGTTTGAGAATGTGAGAATCGAGGTGGAATACAACAGAAGAAGCACAATCTCACATGGAACTTAGGCGTGAAGATCCTCTTCCTAGAAATAGTAAGCCACCAATTTAGAATCTTTCTCATTTTCTTATTTTTTATAACCAAAATGTATTCGAAAAGTCTTTTTGGTTTAAGCTCTTTTTCAGCACTTTTAGTCACTTTTTTTTTGGGCAAAGGCTTGTTTTCATTTAATAGCTCAAAGGAGTACAAAGACTTTGGGAGTTTAGTAAACTCAAAGTTTAAAACAACAATTCTAAAGATATAAAAAAAAATTAACATAAGGATAGATAAGATAATCCGACATATAAGCACCATGAGATCTTGGAGACAAGAGTTGTAGGACAACTTGCCACAAGCGAGACAAAGCTAAGTCGGAGCCACAATCACGAACGCATCATGAAAAGGGAGAGTAGTCACTGTCGATAGACGTTGTGGCGTTGTAGACGGATCCACAACTTCTAGTCTTGCCGTTGCCGGCACAAGAAAATCTACACAAATTAGTAAGACGGTTATGGAGTAGGGGACAAGAGTTCTCTCCATAAAGGAGGATGGTTGCAACAAGCATCTCTCTATGGTGGAGATTGCCAACCGAAGACCCTCAAAGTCGGATGAAATCTTTTATGTCCCTTTTTCTTGAAATCTAATTATGCATTGATTAACTAAGCAATTTTGAATTTTTATAAGCCTTAATGTCTTACAGATAGTTCAACGCATTTCTAGCTAACATCAAGGAACTTAACGCTCAGAAACAGAGCCGGGAGGTAAAAACAACCCCATAAGTACTTACCTACTCTTCTCTTCATGACCAAATTAGTCATGACTGATTTCAAATTTCACACCTATGAGATTTTCCCATTAAACTTCTATATAACCACAAAAGAAAATTTTATTGAGTATAGAACTTTAGAAAGCAAAGAAAGAAATGTATCAACATAAAAGCGGTACACTTCACCATATAGGACCAAATAATGTTCTTTTCATCTTCCTTATTATTTAAATAGGCGAAACTGCAATGTTATAACTTACACAACCATTATTTTGGGATTTTAATCGTTTAGCTAGAAAGGTTTAAAAAAAAAAAAACAGAAAGCTTAACAATGTTCATAGTCTAAATCAATCTCCTCGTGAGTAGATTTGTTGAGAACCTCTACATGTGCGACAATCTTAAGGTCACCATTCACCAGAAAACCATTAAGCTCCCTACGGTGCAACCAGTATATCTTACCCCACGAAGGATTCTCCGCATCAAAACATTTTTCCCTAGCTGCTAATACTCGACGGCGGTAAGGAGAATTGGTTTCAATGCAAAGGCTGAAATTTGTGGTTATCCACCATCCAGGAGGCAAATCTTGAAAATTACTAACGAGCAAAGACGCAGACAAGTAGTTATTCCCTTCTTTTCCATTGGGATAGACCAGTAATGACCTAAAAAAAACAATCAAAATAGAGAAAACCATGGAATCATAAAAAAAAAAAAAACAAGATTTCATTCTCGTACCATGTGCAGCCATCGACGATGAATTCCTCAGACTGAACTCTCCGGTCTTGCAGAGACTTGAAATCCCTAATCACCCACGTGAACATTGGATCTTGACAAGTCAAGAAAACAAAATCAAGATTCAAGATTCCACAAGTAACAAACCCCTCAACTTCTCAAAGGAATTGACTTTGTAATTTCTCATATTGTTGGAATTCGAAACGATTTATAAATTATAATAGGTTACAATTAGACATCTTGATCCAAACGCATATATAATGTTAAATCTAGAATACAAAAACTAAATATACCTGCTGGTTAATTAACGGGATGTTATAGAGCAGTAAACAACTGATTTTAGAGACGTGACGACGAATTATTGTTGTTCGTCTCAACTTTGGATATTAGGGTTCGATGAGATATATGAGTGTATTTAATTAAGAAAAATGTAAATTCTTGTTATTGGAATCTTTCATCACAATTTCCATATATCTCATGGATAAACTTTTTTCAAATTTTTACTATATTTATAAAAGAAAATCTTATACAAAAAAAAAAAAAAAAAAAAAACTATCGTCTTGTGATAGATTCATAATGTTTTGGCAATAGATTCATAATTTTTTGAACTTGGTTTTATGGGCTTGGCCCATTTTTAGGATTTATTACATAAGGCCCAATTAAGCCCAATATAGTAAAGAGTAAAAGACGCTTACTGTTTCGTTCTCTCATCGACTCACAAGAACCGAATCGAGACGATCTCATCTTTGATTTTTGATTCAACGGAAAAACTTTTTTTTTTCTCCCGGAGACGACGACGAAGCAATGCAGTTCTTCGGTGGATCTGAGATAAGTCCGTCGCCGCCAGTTCCGACGGCGAGTGGAAACAACGCGCACATGATGTACGTTTTCAATCGTAACGGTGTATGTCTTCTCTACAAAGAATGGAATCGGCCTCTTCATACGCTGAATCCACAGCAAGATCACAAGCTCATGTTTGGTCTTCTCTTCTCTCTCAAATCTCTCACCGCTAAGATGGATCCAGTCAAGTTAGATTTCTCCCTTTGATTTGATCGATTTCGCTCGAATTTGATGACTGCGATTTATGTGTATAGTTTGAGTATTTCGATTTGATTTGTGTGATCTGTGTTGGGTTGATTTGGCTGATTAGTTTGAATCCAAGTGATTTGGTAGATCTTATGATTTGTGAAATTGATTTTGATTTTGCAGTGCGGATAAGGGAAATCTAGGGGTTCCACAGTTGCCAGGACAAGGTTGCTCTTTCCATAGTTTCCGTACGAATACTTACAAGCTAAGTTTCATGGAGACTCCTTCTGGTATTAAGGTTAGCTTCATTGCTCTTAGATGTCACATAATTTAGTTTCAATTGGATAAGTAGGGAATTTGAATGATTGTTTAGGGAATTTGAATGATTGGAAGTACTGTCTCTTGTAAAATCCAACCCCAAACTCACTATCTTAGTGTCTACTTAAGGAACATGGAGAGTTAAAGGAGATTCCATATAGAACAATAGGGGAACTAGGGAGCTGAGTATGAAGGAAGAATAGGTTGGTTGCTTACTTTCTTGAAGGATACAAGTGTATTCAGACTCAAGCATGTTGTGTGTAGGAGAAAAGGGAATAGTCAGTTGTTTTCTCAGAGTAAAACAATCTGAGCTGAGTTTATGTCTCAACAGATATTGATATGTTTGAACAAGCATGAGGAGATGGTTCATTCATTGATGGTCATCATTTTTCATATTAGATTATGAATCATAGGTAAAATTAAGGTCCGCTGAAAAAAAGATTACGTTAGGATCCAGTCACAATCTTAATCAATAAGACTGAAAGCTTATAGTTGCACTGTATGGTTAGTTCTTCCCATTGGCATACAGAATTTAGATGATTCTTACGGTGTCGGTTAGATTTTGTGGACCAACCATTCTGATAATAAGAATCTTGGTAGAAACTGAGATTGGGTTCCCTGATTCATTTTTACGGGTACACATAGATAGAATCTTCAAGATAAGATATTAGCTCGAAGCTTAGATTCCTAAATTGTTGTTTTGACCACAATACTAAACAGACATCTAGATACTTTAACCACTCATGTTTTCTTGCAGATTATCTTAGTTACTCATCCAAAGACGGGAGATTTACGTGAATCCCTAAAGTACATCTACAGTTTATACGTTGAATATGTCGTAAAAAATCCTATATACAGCCCAGGATCTCCAATCAAGTAAGCTTCAAACATATCTTCCATTCTTGCATCTTAACCATATGTTTTTTTTTTCTTATCTTCACCATATTTCCGATCATAATATCTTATTGCATCGATTAAACCGGTTATTGATAATGTTTCATTGGTCTTTAAGGTCGGAGTTGTTCAACACTGCACTTGACCAGTACGTAAGGAGCATCTCTTAGTGTGTGCGTTACGGATTTGTCCATTGGAACTTCTCTGCTTCAACAGAGATTTCTTCTGAACAATTTCTAAAGAGGAGAAAATTGCAGTAGAGAGATCAATATCGAGTTCGACTGTTTTCTCTGCAAATGTATTTCTTGTTTCACCCTTTTTAACTCACTGTATTGGCTTGTTATCAATATTGTTTATGGGATACGAAGCAACGAAGCGTAATTAACTAATTATGTGTTCGTTATGAAATCGTTATCAAGTTTTGATACCAAAACACACCCTCTCTAAACTATTTAAAACTGAATTATTTACTTAAATAAAATATTATATATTTTATAGGTTAGACAATAATAATTTTTTAATTCCTTAATAGCTGCATTTGGGGGTTGGGCTGCTGATGGGTTTTGGCAGGACACAACACGTGAGATGATTTTCTAAGCTAGGCCTGGGCATAAAACCCGAAATCCGAAAACCGATCCGAAACCGATCCGAAAAATCCGGAACCGAACCCGAACCGAATAGTCACAAAATCCGAACGGATAATGAATTCTCCTATCCGAATTACCCGAACCGAACCCGATCCGAACCGAAAACCGAAAAGATATCCGAAAACCGAAAATAAAATTATATATCCAAAAATATTAGTTATATTTAGTTGTAATTTTATAGCAAATAACAAAAATATCCTAAATAACTTAGATTTCAGAAATTTTTTAGTTATATTTGTTAAAATTATACATATTTTTGCAAAATATAACCAAATTTTAGTAAGATTGAACCAATTTTTATTTAAATTGAACAATTTTTTTGTTTTTTTTTTCCCGAAAACCGATCCGAATCCGATAACTATCCGAACCGAAACCGAAACAATGACTCATAAAATCCGAACGGATAATAAATTCTCCAACCCAAATTATCCGAATCCGAATATATCCGAACCGAAACCGAACCGAAAAATCATAAAATCCGAACGGATAATAAACTCTCATATCCGAATTATCCGAATCCGAATATATCCGATCCGAATCCGATCCGAAATCCGAATGCCCAGGCCTATTCTAAGCATTAAACCCTTTTGTCTTTCTTTTGCTTCCTCTAATTATTTTATTTCTTCTGTTTTTTCTATAAGGTTTTTCTTCAAAATCAAATATTAGTTTTGTCAATTTTCGTAAATGTCAATAGTCTTTGTCCCCTTCTTTCTCCTTCCCTTTTGTCTTCTCTCACTACTCAAAACTCAAAAGTATCATCAAGTCAATGGTGGATGTTCTCTCTAAAATCAAAATAATCAAGTGAGCCCCGAAAAAAAGGGCTAAATTATCCTAATCAATTCTTGTTAAATGTCAATCAACTATTCCTAATGAAAACAATATACTTTTCTGACTAAACTCCGAATTAATATAGTCGTCGTAATTTTTTTCTTAAAATCTTCAAATGATATATTATGTTTCTAAACTTCGTTTTTATATTTCACATTAAGAGAATCTAGCTCTAGCTCGTACATGTGTGTGTGGGTGTCTCACTTTTGTTCAAATTTGGCCGAACAACATATAAAAGGACAACCTTATTTGCAACAAAACCTTAGTAAAGTTATTAGCTTGTAGGTGTGTTCTTAATATTGCCAAGGTATCTAACCCGTGACTTGCTCTTATGCACCTAAACTTTTTCGCCCATATTTCAACATACTATAAAAGTAGGGGAAATAATTGATCCATTGTAATTTGTAGCCACACATCGACATACATATTAGATTTTCCTCCGATGTCATTTTAGTATCTTAGATGATTTGATATGATAAAAAAAAAAATGATTTGATATGATGGAAAATGATTTAGTGGAATAAACGATGCCTAAAATTTAAGTGATTAACATTCAAGGATTAGAATATTCACCACGCAAGAATTATTCATATACGACGTATCTAGAAAAGTAAAGAAATAATTGTATTGAAGCCATTGATTTAAAAAAATCGTAATTAAACATTTTTCAATCAGTTACACAAATATCTATCATCTAACATCTCCTTATTACATCGTTTTCTCATTATAGACGAGTATAATCATATGATTATCATCAACAAATAGGCAACCATGAACCATCCAACTCAAGAATAGATGGAGCCACGGAAAAGAACATGTGAATCTCCAAAACTTGAATTTATAATTTACATTATTCATAAAGTATTGTCTAATCACTAATCTAAATAAGAACTAGTGAAAAATACTTTTACTATTCTCATTGTCTCATATCTAAAGTTTATATTTTTCTCTTTAATGAAAAAATTATATTGCTAAGATAATTGATCCACTATTAGATGGACATATTAATTGATCCAATTGCTTCATTGTGGCTTTTATTTTACTTCTTTTATCTTTATCTTTTATTTTTCTATTATTACACCTACAAAGAGATGCTCACGCAACCGGGCCTTGTGGCCTAGTGGTAAATGGTCACAGCTGTGACTTCCGCCACCAGGGTTCGAGGCACGGCCACTGGCAGGTTTACATAGGGGAATTGTCAGCCTCGTGGGATTAGTTCTTGGGCCTAGGAAACCTTTGGGAGACCCGCGGTTATTCAAAAAAAAAAAAAAAAAAAAGAGATGCTCACAGTCCCTTTGCTATAACATAAAATGACATTCTTTGTGTCGTTTAGACATCGTAGTAATTATCAAGTACCATGCTTTACGAAACAATTAGACCCTGTGGTTCTATAATTCGACAGTCCTTTTATATTGTTTCCCTTAGTTATTTGGATTAATGATTTTTTACTCCATCTAAGGATCAATTATTTCCCCTAGTGACGTTGTTTAAACTTTTGTTGATGCTGGTGACGTATAGAGATCAACATATATATTTAGCACAATGTATTTTTCTTCAGCTAATTTGTTGGCTTCCGTCAGTTATTATCTATGACAATAATTTGTAACAATACTAGTCTAAAGTTTCTTATATCATATCACATTTTCGGTTTCTTGATTTTCGTTCTAACAATTATTTTTTTATACACATCAAAATCAGAAAAGCTAAATAACAGAACAAGAAAAGAAAAAAAGAGAATCTAAAAACTATTATACGTGTGTTAGATTCTCCCACGCGTGGATCAGAAATCAACAAACGGATTGTTTTCAGGACACTCGTGCGGTAACAGTAACGGCGGCGTTTTCAGTTTCTCGAAATATTCCTTTATACCAAACCCACTTTCCGCCGTTACTTTTCCCGTCAATTCTCCGTCATCTCTCAACGGAATAAACGGAGGTCTTAACACTTCCGTTAACAAATCCCACCTCACTCCCCTGAAAAAAGCATGCTCCTTTATCTCCGCCGCTCCTCGCCGGATACCTAACCGCTTCGCCGGATCTTTAACCAGCAAACGACGGATCAGATCGGTTAAATCCGACGGTTTTCCGGCGAATTCAGGTTCCTTCATCAACACGTTACGAAAAGTTTCCTTCTTGCCTCTTCCTTTGAACGGTGTCTCTCCGTACATCATCTCGTACGTTAAAACACCGAGAGCCCACCAATCGACGGCGAAATCGTGTCCGTCGCCGCGAATTACCTCCGGCGATATATACTCATCAGTTCCGACGAAAGAATTTGACCGTTCACCGCCGGAAAAACTCAGTCTCCGTCGTGTAATCGGGTTAACACGAGCTGATTTCGTCTTCTTCTTCTTCTGCCGGAAAATTCTCAGACTTCTCTTATGATGACTGAGCTTCGATTCCGGGTTCGGATCCGGTTCCGGGTCGGATAGATAAAACTCGGGTCGGGTGGGTTTATTGAGACTACAAGAGAGATCAAAATCGGTTAAAGTCACGTGACCCGATTCTTGAAGAAGTATATTCTCAGGTTTCAAGTCTCTATACGCGATGCCCATGGTATGAAGGTGGTCAAGCGCACAGACGATTTCAGCTAAGTAGAATTTAATAACAGAGAAGCTAAAAACGCCGTCGTTTTGACGGTGACGGAGGACGTTTAGATCGCCGCCGGAGCAGTAAGGTAAAGCCCATGCGATGAATTCAGAGGATTCTGAAGAAGCTAAGAGTTTTGGGAGAAAAGGGTTTGGGTTTGTGTCATCGGAGAGACGTTGAAGGATCTGAATTTCCCACCGTGCACGGCGGAGAGAAGAGGCGGAGGATTTGTCGACGAGTTTTAAAGCGAAGGGAGAAGAAACAGAGGAGTCGGAAACAGAGTCGTGGACGAGGAAGACTGTTCCGGTGGCGCCTTTTCCGAGGAGTTTTAGAACTTTGAGTCTGTCGAGGTTAAGATTCGTCGCCGGTGAAAGAGAAGATGAGGATGGTCGTGTCTCCATCGGAGAAAGAGAGAGATAAAAAGGAAGGAGACGAGTGGGTCTGAAACGTTGCGTTTATGTCTCCTCGTGTCCATTTATATACAAATGTGATTTTCGAGTGTAACGCTTTTTAAAAACTTCTTCTTTATTTTTTTCCACTATGCCGTAGTAAAATTATGGTTCGGTAATTATCTTTATAATAACGATCGATTACTAATTTACTATTGTTGAGAAACAAATTAATTCGCATTAAAGGGAAACTATAAAATAAAATTAAAAAAAAAAGGGAAACTATAAAAACGAGTTTGAATCTTATTGTAATAAAATACTTTTTCTTCTCTTGAGTCTTGAGATTTGAACATTAGATTTTTTTTAACGTAGAAGTTTTCTTGAAACTTTATAATTAGTTTGATTTCAGTATAATAACGACGATATATATATATATATATATAGATTGAACTATCTATAATGTGCAAATCTATCATGCTAAATTTAGAAAAACAACAATATAGTTTATGAATTGAGAATAAATAATAAGATAAGTGTATTAATTCTTTTCCGTAGATATTATTTTTCACACTAAGGCCTAAGGGTAGCTACTAGCTAGGGTTAGTCACAACATATTGTACATGAAGTCGATATGGGACTTTATATTAATGGCACATATACACCCATAGTGGTTTTGGAAGCTACTGAAATTCCGAGAGAAGGATCTATTCAATAGATTCTATTGCACCATCCACACTAGAGTAGGCAGCCGTAGAAAGTGAAAGTTTTGGATAGATATCTGGACCGCATTTAGAAATATGCATCGTTTTGTTGGATCTAGTGGACCAAGTATTTTCCGAATCCCCAATTTTTTTTTGTATAAACTGAGATATGATCCAAGGTAAAACAGCAACGTTCATCCTTTTATCGCTGCGAGGATCAAGCAACTTGCTGACCATAATATACTCATATTATATTGACGGACACCGATAAATCGATAAGAGAATATACAATGAAAATTTTCACACTTCTTTAAAAGTCTCAAAACTGTGGAGTTTTAATTTAGTGTAGTGTGAAACTGGGAATGCCAAGGTAAACTAGAGTGCTTCGTTTGGGTTAAACAAGTCATTCCAAAGCATATCTCTGAATTTTGCGAGTTGCAAATTAAAACTTTTCTATAATATTGATATATCATCATTTGGATAAGTTTTTTTTTTATAAACGTTATTTTAATTTTCATTTTATGTATTATATTTTCCCTCCCAATACATTCTATAAAGATTTAAATGAATGGAACACGTGCGATATCATAATGATTAATGCAATAGAGGGCAATGTGTCGACAAGCCAAACTGGATACTCACAACCACCACATTTATATATAAAGCTGTATCATTTCTCTGTAAATCTGCAAAGTGTTAATCTCTTGCTGCAATTATTAACCTACTTTCATTATTTTGTGTGAATTATTTCGATTATTATTCTTTCCTATATACATTTTATAATGAATGTTTTCTAACTCACCTTCATAGAGTGAATTGTTTTTGTATTATATAATTGGTAATAAAAGTGTTATATACATGTTGATGGATGTAACTTTTTCTTACATGTGAAATCCTAAAGGTGATTTACTAATGGAAAAAGTAATTACTAGTTAGATAGACCTAACCTAACTAAGCTAACCAATAATTGAACATATTTAGAAAAGCTTTTATGATCGTTGATGGTGTAGGTAGATCCGGCACTTACTTAGTTAACATGACAGCATTTAAAGGAAATTTTGTCTTCTTGAACTACAATTTCAAGTTTATAAGCAAAATCTATCTTTGTGGGACGGAGGGAGTACTATTTGTTTATGGTTACAGAATTTCATGCATTAAATTTTAAAACGAATTTGGACATAGATGGTTAATCTAGTTCACAAACCGAATTAGTTGGACCCGAAGCTAATACGAAGTTACCAACCAACCAATAATTGGGAAACAAGTTTCAAGTGTGTGCACATAAATTTATTGAAATAACAAATCGAGAAATTGGTGTTTGTTACATGATGAGAAATATGGGGCCCAAAAATTTAATGACATATTCTAGTCAATTAAAAAGAAATATTTTGCGTACACAATAAAAAATTTGCGAAGGGTTAATTTTCGTTGATTTCATTTAGTTTTAAACCTTTGTTGGCAAATAAAGTACATATGGTCCTGAAGTTGAATGTGTTTATGACTTAGTAACTTCAAGTCAATTAGATTTTTAAATCTTTGCAAAATTCGCAATTTGATTGGTAAATTACAATTGTTAGCAAAACTCGAATTCGAATTTATATACATGTTTTGTATGTCGAATGACATGTTATAAATTAGCATTAGTGGTGAAAAACAATAAATCTAATTCAACTTTACTAACTACATTTACAGTTAGAATATTTACTTTACGAGCTTAATGAATCCACCATATATGCATACATACAAGCTAAAGTTATATCACAGGTTAATTACATTAGTTTTCGATTGTAACTATTCACAAGAGCAAACCATATCTATTACACGTAGAGGCTAGTTCTCATTTGGTTATATATCTTGGATCCATATATATCTAATTAAAGATCTTAAAATCTAGATAAAGAAAATGGTTAATTAGATCCAAAGAGATCTAAAGGAAAAGAACTTAGAAGATGGAAACTTCCTAGTACGCAAGATTGACTCCTTCCGTACATCAGATTAATCAACGAATTAAGTCCACGAGACACGCAAGATTCTCTTGTTCTTATCCCACCACAACATAAATTAACATCTCTTCTTAATTATAATTATTTTCTCAAGTTGATGTATGTATATGATTTAGTAATTGCTTTCGTTTTATTATAAAGATGTTAGCGAAAGGGAGCGTCGGGGCACGTGGGATGTCACCGTACGTACCATACAAAGACTAATGATGTGTTTTTGGAATAATTGAGAGAGGTTAATATAAATTGTAAAAGAGTTATAACTTTAGGGCACATTCTTGTGCCTTTACCACTACTATTCTCACTTATGATGAAGCATTATCACCCCCACAAAACTAAAGTATTTATTTTTTTCTTGTCTTTGATTAGATCTGTAAACTTTATATCAATCTACGGGTCATGGACTGTCAATGTCATTATATGATTTTCGAAGTGATTGGATATGTAAATTGTAGAAACGGATTTTCTAGTCTCAATTATGAAAGTCTCGTAGTATGTATAATCTTTTTCTTATATGCATTTTTATATATACGTTGGACTTTTATTTAAAGATAAATAATTATCTCATTGCAGTATTATATGAAGCCAGCTATATTACTCTTCACCGTGTAAAATTGTTAGTGAGTTGAGCTAAGATTCTTTAAATTTCAGTAGTGTTTTCCAAAAAAAATAAAAAAAAAATAGTTCAAATTGTTTCCACCTAAGCTACCAAAAGTAATAAAAAAAGAAAATATATGACAAGAAAAGCTTTCTGGTCACGGAATAAAAGTTAAAATCACATTCTTCTTCTGATTCCACCCACATTATCAAAGTAAGAAAAGAATATACTTAATAAATATTATTGGCAAGATAAACAGAAAAAAAAAGAAGAAGAGAGAATTCGATACCATGATGACGCTTGTCGGGCATGATTTCTTCTACCGATTTACCAAAAAAATATGAGGAAAAAAAATTGAAGGATAGCCTAAACTTTATTGCTAAGATGAAAATATTTTATATGTTAATGCCACAATTTAAGGGAGACAACAAAGTGAAGAAACACTAAGGTTGTAATGGGAACGTATGCATAATCAGCCCCACATAATGTGTGTGTAATAGTAATATGTTTTAGTGTGTCTCATTAGTCACTAATAACAAAAGAGAAAAAAACAGTGATCATACACACCCTCCGTTTTTTTTTTTCGTCGACCCTCCGTTTTTTTTTTTTTCTCCAACAAAATAACTTATATAAAGAATAAAATCGATCATGATACAAAAGTTCGGATATCCAAAAAAGAGGATCCAGATTACAAAAAAGAGAGAAAATACAACAAATTTTAGCTATTATATGAGCTACTTCGTTACAAATTAATCGTTTCATATGAAGGAGTTAATGTAATGTTTTTAAATAATGATGCCCAATAATGAATATCTTGGCATAAGTAGGCAATAAAAATATGACCATTGATAATATCAATGAGAATTTTACAATCGCCTTCGAAACGCGCTGATGTATAGCCTGACCACGTTTGTTGCATAATGATATTAGAAGAAAAGTTTGTTTCACAAAGAATTTTTATTTTGTTTTCTATCTAAAATTTGTGAACATATTCGAATGTATTCATATTGCTTAATGCAAGAAAAATATATACCTGGAGTTGGGAAAAAATTTAATATTCGTAAGAAAATATTATAACATACTAAATTTTTAACATTTCAAAACAAAATTAAATATAAAAATTATATTATAACTCTAACTAAATAAGTTGACTTTTGGTATATATTTTTATTTTTATTATTAAATTTGGAATTAAGACATGACTTATGAAAAATATAAAAGACATGAACCAATCCAATTATAGTCAACTGATTTTGAATTGAAATCTAAAAGAAATTAAGATAATATCCAATAATCAATACAGTATATAAGTTTGATCCAGAGTATAGTGGCCCAAATAAGATAAATTTATCCAGTCTTAGAGTAAAATTTGATTGGAAATGGGATATGATAACCATTACTTTGAGAAAAAAATATATATTTCAAAATTGATGGTATCTAAACTAATATATAAAAGACATGTGCAATCCATTCATCCTTAATTATTTTGAGTTGAAAACATATACTAAAACTTAACATGAAACATTTATTAATATGATTTAGTGTTAATTAAATTAAGTAGTGTATATAAAAATTTACTTTAAAATCCAAATAAAATTTATATATAAAAGAAAATAATACTAAAATGACATTTAATCTAACACGGAAGAAGTCGTATAAGTGTTGTTCATAAAAGAGAGAGAAAAAAAAATAGTCTAGGTGCTCAAAATTCTGAAACTTTTGCATTACCTATTTGGGCTAAAGGAATTATGTAAAATAAGCCC